GAAAAAAAGTATCTGATTTATTCTAATAGCCAACTTTATACTATCACAAGAATTAAAAATATAGAATTATTGTAATTCAAGCTAAATAAAGAGCTATAATTCAAAAGAGCGTCTAAAATGCCTTAAGAAAAGACACCTTGTAAACAATAAAGTAGAACATACTTATTTGTTATGAGGTGTTTGTAAATAACATTTAATATTTGCTAAGTTTTTACTAAGAATACAAGGATTTTTATATATAAGTTTATTAGTCAATAATGATCCAGTATACTTATAATTTTTTATTTCAAGATAAGGTAGGATAATAAATGATAGTAAATAAAGAAGATTCTATCTTGAAAAAGCAATTCATTATTAAATAACAATATTATCTAGGATAGTAATATTTATGAATATTAATATCTAAAAGCTTAATCCATTTTAAAATATAAATAGTGAAATATTTTTCTTATCTACATATTTTGACAAAGTTATATTTACATTAAATTTAAAGTAATTGAAAAAATAAAGAAGATATTAATATTTTAAAAAATAATATTACAGCTAAAATAATAATGAAAATTTGGGAAATGATGTTTTTTAAAATTCACTCAAAGCCATGAACGCAAGAACAAGGTAGTGACAAGTTAGTGCTGTAGTACGCAACCACTAGCGAGATTCACAATACTCTAGCATGCAAGAATTCACAATTGAGATGGTCCTATGTGTTGGAATGTAGTGTCCAAAGAGGGTAACTACGGAAACAAAGAGATATGGCAAAGAAAACATGAAAAAAAAAAGCTGAAAATGGAAGTCAAAATGAATGAAGACAAAAGTAAAATATGGGATAAGAGTTTAAAGTTCAAAGACACAAGGAAAACCTAGTAGGATACTATATAATTTAATTAGAGATTAAAAAAAGTGGGAAAAAGAGAATGAGAAAAGAGTAAGAAAACTAAATGGAACAAACTTGAATTTAGCTCCCATGCATTGGAAAGTGAATATGCTAATGTAACCTCAAGCTTATATAGTTTGCACTCAAAACTTTGGCCAAGAATGGGAAAAAAAATACACAAGGAATGCATCAGTAGTGGTAACTGTGAGAAATGAGATGAATTATGATGTGAAAGTGTGATAAAAGAGGGGATGGATAATATAAGTGAGTGTGTTTATGGATGAGCTTTGAATCTGATGTCATGAGACTTAAAATTGCATATATCAAAACTGCTAGACCACCACTCAAAAGGTAGCAAAAGTGCTATACCTAATATTTGAGCTGAGAGAAAAGGTTGTTAGCTCTATTGTTTGCACCTCTAAAAGCATTGAGGCCCTTGGGGTCTTCTAGTGGAAAAAGAAATAAGCCTGAAAGGGAAGAAAGTTGTAGTATGGGACTAATCTATCAAATATGTTATACCTTGTGAGTGAGAATATTTTGTTTTTTATTTTTACGTGTTTAGAAGAGCTTCTATGATGAAGTGATGTTTAAAAATGCTTATTTAAAGTTGTATATAGTGGGAAATGAAAATGAGATGATCAGGTATGTATAGTGAGAGTTGGGCAACAGTGATATGAGTGTGTAGACTATGGTTGATGTAAGTGATAGTGAGGGATATAAGGACAAAAGTGATGTAGAAGAAGCTAAAGATTCTAAGGACAAATTACTAGGAGTTCAGGAGATTTCATCTGATTAGTAATACAATCAAAGCATGTTCACCATAGAAAAAAACTTGTTCCACTTGGTTTCCTTGCTTGAAGAAGGATGGAAGAAAAGTGAGTAAATACATGAATAGGTGTACATATGGTGGGAAGCCTTCAGTTGTTTGGAGATCAAGTACACCCAATTGGTCAACTAGTGTACCTTAGGCAATCTCTTCAGATCCCATGCAGTCAACTTATTCAAATCTCCACCATATTCAAGTCTCCTAATATCACCCAACCATCATGTGCCACCATTGTTTTTATACCTTCATGTAGTAGAGATTTAGGGTTACCATCTGTGTGTAGCTAAGAACTAAGACAACATGGTTTGTAACTTGAGCCAACCATCTTGTCAACACCATTTTTGTGCCACCTCTGGGCCTTGACACCACAATCCATGGCCAGGTACCACTAGGGTCTTCTTGGATACCCACATTGAAATTCAACATTGTTGCCATCTTGTGTTCCTGGAGCCATAGAATGTTGATTGCTCTTTCCATCCCAATTTTCCACATGTGTGATTTAAGTTCTGTACACTTCAAGTAGCCACATACTGATGTATATCTAGAAAAAAGTATTGCTGGCTGGCTGCACTTGCCAGATGCTTTGCCCACACCTCATAGCAAATGAGGAAAACCCCATCTACTCTATGATTGTTTTCTCAGAGTGATAGTTGCCTTGCATTATGACCTCTGGGAATATAGATGTTCCCTTAGACTAACCAGTCCATGGCCACTGCCACCAGTTCCCACTTTGGTGGAATCCTTTATATGACCTTCTGTAGTCCACTAACTTTGCCCTAAAATTAAACCCTAAACCCTAAATAATTGTTTATTAGGATCAGGGTTTATGTATAATTTTGAATAATTAAATTATTTAATTAATTAGAAATAATTATATCGTTTCTTATTAGTAATAATTAATTTAATAACATTTTATTATGATTTTGAGAGTCTCAGACTAATTTTTGGGTGTCAATTTTACAAAAATAAGCTTGCTAATCAATATATTTAAGCTTTGCACTTTTCCTTCATTTTTTTGTTTTTTTTTGCATGTATGAAGCATATGTCCTTCATATGATGCTTTTCTTGTGCTCTTTTGTGGTGTGCCCAGGGTGAAGAGCAAACTACAACACTTAGTAATTTACATTCAAAGTAGTGAGAATCTTTCTTCTTTTCTGATCTTTTCGTTAAGTAACTTGATATGGACTTATATGATGTTCTAGGATCTAACAGAGTGGAATCTGGTTGTTTCTTTCACTAAATTTAAATTTAAAATAAGTCTATAAACCAAACAAAAAAACAAACTAATATCAAAAAACATGTAAACCACTAATTGATCTAGACTTTACCTATTTGTAACTTGATGGATTTTTCATAGGAGGCAGATTGGAGAAAAGAGACTAGAAATTCTAGAACTTCTTGAATCCATGGTGAAAAATGGCAATATTGGTATTGGTAAAAAAAATGTTTCAATGTATTTTTAAAAAATAGAATATTGTCTAAAACAAATAATATTCACATATTCTTGCGATTTTCTTATTTTTTGATTTAATGTCTACCTGAGTATTCCAAAAATTTATACTTGCATTTTTTTCCTAAAAAACAATTGTTCAGATCTCTGAACAGCAAGAGGCTTTCCAACAAGAAGAATACTTCTTGCCCTGGAGAAACCCACTTGCACCACTCCAAGCAGCTTGATCCAAAGTGTTTGTACACAATGATATCAGCAGCTCCTTTATCATTCTATACTCTTAAGAACCTATTATGCTAATACAAATATTCATATTTATGTATTAAGCACTCTAAATATCTAAAATTCTAGCTAGAAAAAGAAAACAAGAAGAGATTAAATTCTCATCCCTAGCTCCCATATAACAACTGACCTTTTTCACCTGGATACCAGCGGCTATATAGTCGTTCATGATCTTCAACCTTGCATCATCCGAAGTTCCCTCATGCACAGTGACACTGAACTCACTGAATTTTACCAGTGGGACAACAAACACAAGCTCCAAGCTGCCATCCTTGTACATGCTCCGGAGGAAGTCAAATGCTTTCTTCTATCTGAGCCTTTAGCCATACGGGAAGAGCCTCTCATCTTTTCTCTTGTCAGATACTATCAGCTGGAGAACTCTTCTGCCATAGATGATATCCCAGGTCGTGTTATTGCAATCCTTTGGCTTGATGACAGTGCAATCAAGCTGTTCTGGAGTCATATCTTTTGGAAACTCCATCTCAATAAGCATCAGATCCATAGCCTTGATGAAAGACTTTGCCTGCTCCTCCAGCCCAAACAAGCCTTTCTTGTTAATCATCACATGGCACACACATAGCAGCCATGCAGAAGCACCTGGTGGAACTTCCTGTCAAAGAACTCACCATTCTTGAAATCCACTGTAGCCATGTTGTAGTTCAAAACTCTGTCCAGAACGTTGATGTTAAGACACCCTGCCAGCTTGTCTATGATATAGAACGTGGCAAGCTTCTTGGTGGCAATGGCATAAGTCTGGTCATTCTTAACTGTTATGTGGTAGACAAGATCTGAAGCATAGACATCCTGACCAGCATTGAGCCTCTTGCTATCACACACAGCCTTAGCAATGCTGTGAATTGCGTCTCAAGCTCTTGCCGCTGATGTATGCTAGTCTTGGATAGCACATGCTTGGGATGTGTGAATTTCTTTGCGAGGCCAAGTCAGGACAAAAAGCCTGATCACATCATCTCCCTTGAAAAGGTGGTGGTGATTGTCTGGGTCTGGTAACGGTCTTGCAAGGCAGGCTCCAGTGGTCCTTTATCATCTTTCAGTCCACCAGGTACCCACCTTGCCTTCCTCTTACCCATTCCGTGGCAACGACCCGGTTGGCAGTGGATGTAATCTCGCTGTCCTTGTTAAAGGCGTAGTACCTGTTGGATTCTTTGAACTTGAGAAGGATGAGATCCCAGCAATGCTTGTGAAGGAGCTCCCACAACAGAACGAAGACAAAACCGGACTTACCGATCCCGGGCGTGCCCAGCACAACCATGGAAGCTACCTCTGACATAGCAGCTCCTCAGCAGCTCCTCACGTAGCAGCTCCTCACGTACACCAGCAGCTTGTGCTTTCTTGAGTATCGCCAGAGCCCCGTGAACACTCTTGGCAGCGGCAGAAACTTACCCCCGGGCTCGTTGAGCAGTGGCGTCTGTGAGAAGGCTTCCAGCTGCTTTTGCTGTTGTTCGCAGACCTTGCGAGCAAGGGGTATGCCTCGCCACTAGATTGCACGCCGCCAAGAGCCTCGCCGCCATCTTCCTCAAAGCCCTAAACTATATTAACTTTAGGGAATATTCATAAAATATATTTTTCTTTATTGCATATTCTCCGCTAGATTCATACTACTCTCACCAGCTGCTGCTGCTGCATTTACATCACCAGGATGCTGACGCAGTCCGTGGACCTTGCGGCGTGCGGGCTCCAGCATCGCTCGCAGGCCATCAACTTTTGGCTGGAAAAACTCTCGCCCTTTCACGGGGATATCATCCATCTGTCGAATCGGTCAGCCAAACGTTAAAAATCCACCTACACACTTACGGATTTGATGCCCAGACAAGTTGTTATCATCTTAGCGCCTAAAACAGCCCCTCCGCAAACCAGAGCAGTGCCTATAAAGAAGGCCTTGACAACTGGAAGGACACGGGGAAAAAAACTTGGACGAGCGCTCAAAACTAAAAGCGAAAAAGTTGTTCTTACTCATGAGATAGCCTTCCACGACGAGCTTTGCTTGAGCCGCGCTCATCTCCGGCGCCGCTCTCGTCTCGTTTGCTGTCGATGGCTGCCTGTTAAATCCTTCCAGCGGCCCGAATCCCCATCTAGGCACAAGAAAAGAATCTCAGCAAAAGAGGTTGAACAAAATCCAGCTTACGTTCTTGGAGTGGCTGTGAGATAGCCGTCGCCGGGGTCAATCCTTGGGCTGGCTATGGTTTTCTCCGACCTCAAGCCCGAGTCGACGCTCATCTCCTCCTTCCCCGGCCTTAGGGGGATGGAATGCTGAAGAATTTCGGGCAGCACGTCCGCCTTGGCTTGATTCTCGGCCTCGGACAGCAGCGCGACATCGGAATTGGATTCCTTGCTGCTGCCTACCTGTTCTTGCTGCTTCCTGCGGAGATTGGCGATGGCCTCGCGCGATCGGCTAGCGAAGTATCCCCCCTCCGCGGCAGCAACCCGGCGCCCTAGAAATCCTCCCACCATTTTCAAGATCAGGGGTTCGAGTCCGCGCTGTGACAATAACACATTGGCGCCTTTTGTAAGATTTTCCTCAATTAGATACTGAGGTGGTAGCATGTCACATTGGGGCGGCGATTTTCTCTCAAGCGATATATTCCCTTCTAGCCAATAGTAAAAAATGTTTTCACCTGTCACTGTAACAAGGAGTTACTACTAGCCACAAACCACGATAGCCCCCGGGTCTCCCCAATCTCAATCACCTGCCATTGAGTGAGACCTGATCCGCCGTAAAAAACGAACCAGATTCTCTCCGATTTAACCGCGCGCTCGTTAAAAGGGCGCGGGGTATGCCAGCTGGCCCTAATTAGGGCAACGTGGCGAGTTAGTTGCCGGCTCCCTGGCCGACATGCCAAAAAACCGCCGCTGTCCCCAATGATGATTCGCCATGGCCCACCATGTGGTCGCGCGCGCCACTGTACGGTACACCGACGTGGAAGAAAATGTGTGCTGGGAACCAACGGGGAGCTGCCACGCAGGACAAGAGCATATTCAGGCTAGAGATCCTTCACTCTACGCGACGGCTAATGTGACAGCTGGTGCCGCCGGGGCATTAACGGCGCGAAAAACCACGCGCCGCCGTCTGCCTCCAGCGGCCGGAATAATCTTATGCCCGCGGTAAAAAGGCCAGGCGTTTTGTTTAACCCCACCACAGTTAACCCTGAGGTTTAAGGGAAACCAGGCGGAAGAAGATGAAGAACAAGCAAAGAGAGCGCGTGGAGGCGAAAGCAGCGGGATGATGGAGGAGCTCCATCCGCGGCGGCAGCGCAGCGCAGGTCTGTGATCCGGCCATGGCGATGCGTGGATTGGTGTTCTTGGTGAATCTTTGCTGCTTCTTTGCTGCCTGGTAGCGATATTTCGCCCAATGCTGCACGAATTGGCCGCGCTGCATTCTTCTTGCCGCTCGGCAAGGCTCCGCGCTGCCGAAATCGCTCGCGCTATTCCCGTGTCGATCTGGTGGCTGCTTGCTCGCTCGCCTTGTCCGATTTGGTCGAGAGATCCCTTCTTTCTTGCATCTTTTGGCCGCGTCCTTGCTGCTTGCGGCCAATCGCATCACGGGCGTCGCGAGCGTCGCAAATTTCTGTGAAATCTGGGGGTCTTCGTCCTTCTGGTGTGTCGCGCAAGATCTGTCCGTGAATCTTGCCTTTGGCAAGAGCGTGAGCGTTTTGTCCTTTGCCTGGCCGGGCCGATTGAAAGGCCTTGTGCTACCGATCCACCGCTTTTCGCGTTGGTTGCTAGGTTCCTGTTGGCATAAGTGTTGTGTGGCTCTTCTTTGTCGTCCTCCCAATCAGATATATTTTTCTTTTTTTGTTTCCTCTCTAATGCGATGATTCTTGTGATTCTTGCAGGATGAGACTTGAAGAACAAGAGGACGAGGACGAAGAGTTTGGTCGGGGCTCGAGAATGACGCTGTAGATGTGGAGGCGTTCTAGGGGGTGAAGCTCTCGGTCCTGATCAAGAATAGATAGATAGATACAAGCAGTGCGTAGAACTCACGGTAACAAGGGATAGTCTAGAGGGGACATGGGATAGCTAGTCCTTCTTACAGGTTCGTTTAGCCGGATCATCCTTTTCTCCGCAGCGATGCGAGAGAGTGGCATCGGGTCTCCACGAATGTATGCAACGCCAGGAGGAGGAGCAGCAGCAACAAGCGGGACAATTTTCGCTCGACCAGCAGGACCGAGGCCGGATGGCTCATCATCATCGCCACAAGTTCCAGCAATGGGAAGACAAATCCCACAACGGGTTTCGGCGTTCAGCGGATATGTTTCATCAGGAAGTTCAGGTCTTTCGGTTTTTCCTCTCCTTTAAAAAAGTATTATATTTCTTGTAGTTTCAACGGCGATTTTTGTTTCCAGGTGGCAGCTCACTCGACTCAGAGGCTTGGCATGCTTGTGCTGGACCTCTTGTTTGTCTTCCTCTTGTAGGCGATAGAGTTGTCTACTTTCCTCAGGGTCACATTGAACAGGTTTGTAGTGCGTGTTTGTCTTATCCGGCTGAGTTTTATATTGGGAAAGCAAGGCGAGAACTAACACGTTGGTGCTATTCGTGATCTTGACAGGTGCTGGCCTCTACAAATCAAAACGCTGCGGATTTGCAAATCCCGCAGTATAATCTTCCATCCCAGATTTTCTGTCGAGTGCTGAACTTGTCGCTGGGTGTAAGTTTTCTTTTTCCACCTTTTTGTACGCGAATGCCAAGAGGGATGTTTGTGAAACTTCTATTATGTTACAGGCGTATCGGGAAACGGATGAAGTCTACGCGCAGATGACTCTCGTTCCTGAAAACGAGGTTTGTTTGTCTAATTGATTCAAGTGCATGGACATGTAGCTATTTTATATTCGTATTTCTGACCAGCAACTTGACCAATCACTGGAGCTTGATGAACCTACAGCATCTTCAAAGGCCAAGCTGTCCATGTTCTCCAAAAACTTGACATCTTCTGACACAAGTACTCATGGAGGATTTTCTGTTCCGAGGCGTGCCGCTGAAGAATGCTTCCCCCGACTGGTAAGCTCGTATATCCTGATATATGTCACTCCATATATTCGTTAAACTGGATTCCAGGATTATCAGCAAACCCCTCCAGCTCAGGAGATTATAGCAAAAGATCTTCATGGAGTTGAATGGAAGTTCCGCCACATCTACCGAGGTTCGTACATAGTTTTTGGCTATACTTTCTTACAAAATTCTTGACTTATCCAGGACAACCACGAAGGCATCTTTTGACGACAGGGTGGAGTGTTTTTGTAAGCCAGAAGAAGCTTGTTGCTGGCGATACCGTTCTCTTTGTCAGGTGAGCTACGGATTTGATCTGTTTTTCATACCGTAATAATATTTCGTAACACATAGGGGAGATAATGGTGAGTTGAGAATCGGGATTAGGCGCGCTGTGCGCACGCAGAGCAGTGTCACTTCGTCTTCGCTACTGTCTAGCCACAGCATGCAAATTGGAGTCCTGGCTGCTGCTGCTCATGCTGTATCCACTAAGACCATGTTCACCGTGTTCTACAATCCTCGGTTTGACATTCTTTGGATTTAACACGGCAAAGTAATGAATTTGTTTTTCTTCAGGGCTAGTCCAGCTGAATTTGTTGTTCCATACCACAAGTACGTGAAATCTTTCAAGATGAACATTTTGATTGGTATGCGCTTCAAAATGAGATTTGAGACTGAGGATTCGTCGGAGAGAAGGTAAATCGTTTTGAAGTGAATCTTTTGTTTTGTCTTCTTTTGCTAACAGTACTCGGTAGTGTCAGATATATGGGAACTATTACTGGAATTGGCGATATCGATCCAGCTCGATGGCCTGGCTCTAAATGGCGCTTCCTAAAGGTAAAGAGTCTTGTCTTCAAGTGACGCATTTTTTAGCTTCTTCCTTTCTTATATAAGGTCGGTTGGGACGAGCACGCGGCTAGCGAAAGACAGGAGAGGGTGTCACCATGGGAGATAGAGCCATTTATTGCTCCCAATGTGACTCCCCCAGTTTCGACGAAGAGATTCAGGCCAACAATGCTCACAGACATAAGTACGTTTCGATACTCTCTACATGCACTTTTAAACCACGGTTGGTCTATTATCAGGTGTCAGTCGAAAGTCATACGACAATCATCTTCGTCAGATCCTACAGGCCAACCGTAATTTGCAGACATCTCACAAGTACGAGGCTGACGAGAGGGAAAACTTTCTCCTGAAGTCTCCTACAGCCCTCTATTCTGAGGCTAAGGTAACTTCAAGAGTTACTGAGGGTCATAGTGTTCCTGGTTTTCCTTCTGGATTGCCAAGCCCCGGAAACGAGGGGCTACCATCTCATCGTAAAGTCGATATGCACCAGCAGCAGCTTAGGCTTTGTGTTCAGCAGTTTCGAGAGCAGAAGGTTCCTCTACAATTCGAGAAACCGCAGCAGCCTTCTCCAACCAGCAGCTTCGCTTCTCGGCAAGCAGCATTAAGTTGCCCACTCTACTTGCAGCCTCAACATACAACAGACAACTCTTTTCTTAAGCTTCTCATGTCGCCTACGCTGGCCTCGCTGCAACAGGCTCCCAGTAAGTAAAATCCATCGTCACTTCTTATGTAATGCTTTTTTGTCTACTCTTTTTTGTTCTTTCAGGAGTTGAGGAGCCCCTTGCAAGAGGTAATGCAAACGATTCTGACCGCGAGTGCAAACTATTTGGTTTCTCGTTGAAACCAAAGACAGCATTGGCCAGCACCGTCAAAGACGACGTCCACAAGGATCTCGAGTCAGAAGCTTCCGGCTTCAGGAAGTGTTTTACTGGCCAGAACTGGAACCAGCAGCAGCAACAACAGCAACCAAGCAGGACGTGCACCAAAGTAAGATCTCATTCTTTATTTGAAGCGCCAGGCTCTGAATCTCTTCTACTTTTCATAGGTTCACAAACACGGTGCAGTGGGACGAGCTTTGGACTTGTCCAAGTTCCGGGGATACACGCAACTCCTGGAGGAGCTGCAGCATCTGTTCGGCATTGACGAGAGCCTGAACGGGTCCGAGTGGCAAGCCGTGTACGTAGATAACGAAGGCGACATGCTGCTCGTCGGAGACGACCCCTGGGAGTAAGATCTCGTCTGTGCATTTCATGGTGTGTTTGCTTAAAAGAGTTTTTACATTTCAGGGAGTTTTGCTCGACGGTGCGATGCATACGGATCCTATCGCCGGCTGAGATCCAGAAGCTTACCGTGCAGGCACGCAACAGCAGCACGGAAGAGCCATCCAGCAGGCTGTCCGATCAGCAGGATTCCTCATCCCCTCCCGCTACTAGCGACGAGTAATTAAGTAGCTCCTAAGATGCTTCGTTTTGCACTAATTGAGAACTTCCCCTTTTTGCCCTGTCTATATAAAATAGTGGTACTTAGCTCAAGTTTAGGGTTCATCGGTGATAAAGGGCTAGGGCAGTGATGGTGGATTTGGGGTTGGGGTTGGTGGTCGCCGATCCTTCCCCTCTGCCCATTGATCAGGTAGGCCGCTTTCTCTCCACCCTCGCAAGATAAGTTCGTTTAGGTAGGGCTTTTCTTTGCGTTAGCAATAAGCGAGTAAGACTGAGATTTGGAAAGCGAAGCTTCTTGCAACGAGCTAAGAGGTATGCTAGAGGCGATCAAGAAATCGTGTTGAAACTCTCAACGCTTGAAGACACCTCTTTTCGATTGCAACGCAAAAGGGAGCCAGTGACACAACAAACAACTCAAACAAGCAAAGTGCAAAACAACGGGCCAAGGAACTCTCAACGCGAAGGGACACTCACCGATGTGGACAACGCTGTTTGAATACGAACAAAACTAACGATCAACGATACTTGGTTTCACATTGCCAGGTTCGTGTGTGTTTCGATTTGTTCTAATTTCTTGTCATGAAGAAGCCAAGTGACATGCTGGTGCTGCTCAACGACAATAAGAACTGAAAAACTCCCATGTCACAGTGTGTGCCAAGAAGAGAAATGCTACTAGATTGGAGAGATTTTGTGTCAACGTTTTGGAGCTTTGAGTTGTGTTGTTGCTGCGCTCAACGCAAGACCTGCGAGCTGAGAAACAACGTTGGGAAACTGCGATCATCAGAACTTAAATCCAGCTGAATTTCTACATGACAATGGTCCAACCTCAATGAAAACAACGATCAGCGACGGATCAAGTCCACTCTCGCCCGCAAGGTAAGTTCGTTTTGAGTAAGACACAACGAAACAAGAGAGATTTGCTGGAGACAAGAAAGCGAAGCTGCTTGCAACGAGCTAAGAGGTATTCTCTAGGCTAGAGGCGATTAAGAATTCGTGTTGAAACTCTCAACGTTTGAAGACGCTCTTTCTTTTCGATGCTATGCTCAACGCACACAGTCCAAGTTAATATGATATGCTTGATCAAACAACTCAAACAAGCTAAGTGCAAAACAACGGTCCAAGGAACTCTCAACGCGAAGGGAAACTTGTTGTCAGGTTTGTGTGTTTCAATTTGTTTTAAGTTCTTGTCATGAAAAAGAGAAGTGACATGTTGGTGCTGCTCAACCACGATAAGAACTAAAAAACGCTGTGTCCAAGAAGAAAAATGCTACGAGATTGGAGAGATTCTATGTCAACGTTTGTAGAGATTGTCAGCGATGTTGCTGCTGCTCAACCCAAGACCTGCGAGCTGAGAAACAACGTCGAGCTGAGAAACAACGTCGGGCATCTGCAATCTTCAAAACATCAATCCGTACATGACAATGGTCCAACCGCAACGAAAACAACGATAATGAAAACTCTGGCTGTCCAACGATATGGAAGTTTAACAGGTTCGTGAGCTAGCTGTTCTAACCAAAATGTTTGTTGAAAATGTACATGACAATGGTCTAACCTCAATGAAAACAACGATCATGATCCGTCGCAAGGTAAGTTTGTTCAGGGCTTTTCTTCGTGTTAGCAATAAGCGAGTAAGACAACGAAACAAGAGAGATTTGCTGGAGACAAGAAATATGTAGAGTGATCAACGTTAAAAGAGAGGCTAGAAGCAATCAAGAATTTGTTGAAACTCTCAACGTTTGAAGACGTTCTTTCTTTTCGATTGAGATTGTCGACGGGGTATGCTCAACGCAAAAGGGAGCCAGTGACACAGTCAAGCTAAGATGATATGCTCAAACAACTTAAACAAGCTAAGCGCAAAACAACGGTCCAAGAAACTTTCAACGGGAAGGGAAACTTGTGAATACGAACAAAACTAACGATCATTGAAAGTTGACATACTTAGCTTCATGTTGTCAGGTTTGTGTGTGTTTCAATTTGTTCTAATTTCTTGTCATGAAAAAGACAAGTGACATGTTAGTGCTGCTCAACCACGATAAGAACTAAACAACGCTGTGTCCAAGAAGAAAAATGCTACGAGATTGAACTTCCTTTTGTTTTTGCAACGCCATAAGATTGCAACGGTGACATAGAACAACGTTCCAAGGCCAGCTAACGATGGAAGTGTACGCTTTGGCAGTGGCAAAACGAGACAATCTACACGCACTCTGTAGTTTCCTTGAAAAGAAATGAATACATTTACAAAGTTGCAAATATTTGTCGAGTAGTTATGTCAAAAAACACCAAAGTAGCTTGTAAGCTTCCCAGAGACGAGTGTCTGGGCGCTGTGGCAGCTACTCAAGAGCTCGTTAAATCTCTTGTAGCTGTCCGAGCTTGAAGACCTCGGGCTCGTCACTTCCAAAACTTCCAAGCCGGTCCCCTCTGGCGTGAGCACGAGCAGCTTCGTGTCCTCTGTCCACGGCCGAGGAATTTCTTCCAGTCCAGTCGCTGCTGCCTGAGTGTTTTCATCCAGCCTTTTGTCCAGCCTTGCCACTAGCTCGTCCAGTCGTGCCTCTGGCTCCGTCTGAGGTAGCACTGCCTCTTCTTCGTCCCTGGCCTTTGGGAGTAGACTCAAAAGCTCGAGCTCATCTCCGCTTCTCAGGTACTCGAGCTCGTGCCTGAGCATAACGTCCTCTGGCTTTGAAGTTGCAGTATCACGGGCAGTCTCGGTCTCCTTGGTGTACTGCTGGTTGTATCTCTCCACAAAACTCACAACCTTTTCCTGGATCGCCTCGGGGATGTCGCCACCTTGGAGCCGAGACGCAAACGCAAGACTCTTTTCGTAGTCCCCTACCTCATCTCTGTGAAAGGACATCTCGCGCAAGAGATAAACCGTCGGGGGAGGCTCGCTGTTGAGACGCATCAGCTTCGTCCAGAAAATGCTCCGGAACACCCGACGCCAGTTCGCCAGGATCCGGCAGCCACCTTCCGACCACTCAAGGCTCACTGCTCCATCCAAAATGCTGGCTGCGACACGGTTAGCCTCCGGTTCTTCGTAGCCGAGCTTGCTCAGGTACACTTCCAGCGGAGCCAGTAGAGACTTGTATTGAGCTCTCACGCAGTCGAGGATTGCCTCCGCCGACAACCGTGAGAGAGCTAGAGCAAACGGGGTTCGTTCGTCAAGGTGAGGAAAGGGAGGCAGTCGGCAGAGCTCCAGCGCGTAGAAAATTGGCTGCAAACTCCCAAAGCTGTTCCAGCCTGCGGGAGGAGTGTCCTGATCCTTATACCAAGCTTCCGACAAGGTCGCAAGGTCGGGAGGAGGCCAGTAACTGGGACTCGTACTGGCAGCGTTTGTCACCTCCGCTGTAGCATCGTGGAGCGCTTTGTTGAAGACTGCTACGTAGTCTCCGGGCTCGGCTTTGGTTTCTTCCCGTGACGAGTTTAACGTAGAGTAGAGCTTTTCTGCCACCAAGTCGCGGAGATCCACAGCATGAAGCTCTGGCTGAGCCGGCGCTAAAGTCGCGAGCCACTCAATACCCCTGGCTAGAGTCTCACTGGAGTAGAACCCGTGTTCACTTTTCCCAGTGATCGATAAAACTATCCAGCTACTGATCTTGTCGCCGTCCAATCTGTGTAGCTGAAGCAGCAGTGCTAACTCTTCTTCTGGTGGCGGCCTTCTGTTGAGATCGCCCTCGTCTGATCCAAAGCCACTTGAAAATACCAACAGCGGCACAGACGTCCCGGTCGGAAGAGATTCCACCAGCGAATGTAGCTTGCTGCGCATCCTGCTTAGAGGCGAGCCTTCGTCAACCAAGAACAAGAGAGCGCTTGCCCCGTTGATACCTGGCTGGAAGCTTCTGTCGAGACCAATCTCTTTGGTGATGCAGTGGCAAGCTACTTTGTTTTCGACGTTGCTCGAGATGTAGCATGTTACTGTGTCCCCTTCCAGATTTCCGATTAGCTTTGACCTCAGCCAGTGCGCCGGAAGCTCACTGCCTCGTCCCTTGGACGAATTGTCTCCCATGCAGAAAACCAGTTTCCAGTAAATAGTTCCCGCCCGTGGATTCTTAGCTCTGAGAACCGGAGAAACTATTTCCGACACGTCCAAGAACTTCCACATGCTGTTGAGAAGCGAGACTCGTTGCGTTTTCAAACGGTCCAAGTCTTCTTTGGCGAGTCCTTGCTTTGTAAGTCGAGAAACGTACTTTCGTCCGTGTTGCATCGGCAAGCCAAGGATCATTGATGACAGAGCCGCTCGGGCTCGTAGTTTTCGCAATCTGGCAGCTTCCATGATAGCATCGGTCTTACGCTTCCACCTCCTACAAAAACCACTTTAAAGTTTCACGAGAAAAACTGAGTCAATACAAACCGGAACCAGAGCCGTGCCCGTCCTGTACTTGCTTCCTCGAACTTCATCCTCTCTTCTTCTTGCCGAGCTTCTTCCAGTCGAGCTTCTTCTTCTTTCCTTTCTAACTCCTCAGCTTCAGCCAGCGAAACCTCTCCAGGACTAGTAATCTCCTGTCTTTTTGGAGAGTGGTCCTGCTCCTCATAATCGTCTGAACGAGTTCTTTTCCCTGTGGACGTTTTCTCAGCTACCATGCTGTCTTGCATACTTGGCAGCGGAGCACCCACATCTATGTGTTTCTCGGCTGGCTGGCTTAGATTAAGCGGCCGTAACCAATCAAACGATCCCGTCGGAAAGATGTAAGATGGAGCAACCGGAGTCTCGACTACCGTCGGGGCCTTTGCGATAAAAACTGGCGTTTCTCCGTCGTCATAGTCAGGCATTTCTTCTTCCACTATCTCCGCTGGAGCTTCTTGCACAGCGTTGAATGAAACGTACTCCGTCATATCCGTTTGTAGTTCCGGACTCTGAGCAGTAAACCGAGGAGCTTCTCTGTTCTGGGAGACAACGTCGTCAATAATTCTTGGGGATCTTTTGGATTCCACCAACCGGGATCTATGAAGCCCGTAGTCCTGGTCTTTATTCAGGAACTCGGACTCCTTTACCACGTAAGGCTCTTCAAACAGTTTGATAGAAAATCCATGATAAGATAAGAGATCGCCAACCTCATGCCTCTGAAAGAGAAAGGAAACAAGCGAATGGTTTTAAGTATCGTTTGTTTCAATTACATTCGTACCTCCATGCCTAACCATTTCTTAAGTTGAGATAACGGGATCCCTTGAGACACCCTCAACCCGCTGTAAAGAGCGGCCAGCGCCTGGCTGCGAACCTGTGCGCTCCAGCACGTTAAAACCAGATAATACAGACAATTTATAGACACCTTTGAAAACTGAGCATGCATGAGGCAGGCTTGTAAATAAGTGGCCTTTGCAGCAAGCTTGAAAAAACCGATGTAATTAGGAAGCTTGTACATCCTGATTCAAGAAGGTTACGTCAATAAAGGCTTCCAGTCGCTTACCTCGCAACTTTGCGGGCAAAAATAACATCAGAGGAATTTCTCATAGCAGGACTCATTGAGGACAAATGAACGGAGAGATCAAATGGTTCTACCTGGAAACAGAGGATAAGAAAATGTACAGCTTTCAAGACTTACGGCAAAACCAGGATGCTGGTCGAGTTTGAGAAGCGCATAATACCCCCGAAATTCGGGCTCAGTCATAAGAGGCTCCCCTTTCCTTCGATGATCATCGTACATTTGGAAGAGCTCGCTAAACGCCTTGTTCATCTGCTCGATGTTAAGATGAGCGTCAAAACCCTCCACGAAGCCTTCTCCCTTGGGAAACTCGCACAACTCGTGCATGGCCAGTATATGCAGCCGAATCTGGGGAAGAAAGAAACGCAAGAAAATACGTTTTGACTTTCACGCCGCCACAGCAGAGAACTTACCATCTGCTCGTGCATCACAATGGCCTCGTGGTTGAAAATATGCTGCATCCTTAGATCCACCCTCACAGCTCGCATACGGTCCCAAAGAAAGTTATACAAGCCCAAGAGCTCCTGGGTATAAGACTGCTCCAAAAGGCCGAGAAGATAGTCCATGGTTGCTCGCAACACAGGCAAGGAGCGTATCAGCATTGGATCCTTGTCCGGCGTCCTCGTGTACTGCGAATGAAATAAGACACAGAATGAGCGAGCGATACACGCTCTTTCACCATTGCTTACTTGTCACCTTTTTCACAGCAAGACTGATAGAGGTCTGGTTTCTATCCCCGCCTACACGCTCGTAGCGATCGAGATCTCCTATCCGTTCTCTTTCGGATCTCTCACTCTCTGATAAGGAAGAACAAAGAGAGATGAGTGAAACAAGCACTATTGTGACTTCATACCTGGGCACATATCAGGACAAAGGCCAGGAATTGGCTCGCTGGGTCCAGAGAAGCTGGAGGAGCTTGGTCTAGGCACCGGCGGCTTCTGGATGGTAGATCCATGAGGAGGAAGAGGCGCTCCTCTTCTAGCCGGCAGGTCGAGAGAGAATACCTCTGGAGACAGCGCCTCGCCCCTTCTGTTGGACGGCGGATCGGGAGAGAATGGCGACGATGCCACCACCGCTGTCGCCGCTGCTGGCGCTGGAGCCCTGAATGCCGCCTTACCGAAACCGAATGGAAGCGTGGGCGGAGTGAGAGGACCGGCCGTGTCCGCTCCAAAATTCGTGTAGGCCGCGATCGGCGTGGCATTCTCCTCCATTTCCATAAACCCTAAAACATTTGCCCTAAAAGAAGATAAGTGTAATCATACAAGAAGATTCGTAGAATCTTTGTTTCTACTTAGAAGATCTACGATTTTTTTTTAAACTTGAAGACTTTTGTGTTTGATACAATCGTCACTAACTTTTTGATAAGATAGCCGCGCAACAGCTCCGCTAAAGTTAGCAAGGAGCGAAACTAGTTGAAAGATTCGCTGCATTTTCCGGGCTTTCTAAGTTTGTCATCATCGCGCGCTGACCCTTTCTCCTTGCTCTTCGTCTTCCTCTTTGATCCTATCCAGCGCTTCCACCGCATTCATGACAAGGGGAAAGCTTGGTTTTCTCTAGCGCGCTCGCTGGTTTCTTCAATGGAAGAACACCAAGATGGCAAGGGAACGATGTGGGAATTGGATCAAACGCTGGATCAGCCACTGGGCGATGAAGCCACCCAAGTTCGCGGCTTCCAAAATTCCAAGGTAATCACCGCTTTGTCCTTCTTCTCTTGCATCTTCGTTGTAATCTTTCTCCAGGAGCATCCTTTGGCGGTGACGATCCGGCTAGCGTTTATAAGCCTGGGCGTTGTTTATGGCGACCTTGCGACGTCTCCCCTCTACGTTTTTCCCAGCGTTTTTCCCGACGGCATCGTCGACCGAAGGGACGTTCTCGGCGCCGTGTGCCTCATCGTCTACTCCTTCACGCTCATTCCTCTTATCAAGTATGTGTTCATCGTCTTGAGGGCAAATGACAATGGCGAAGGCAAGTTTCGATCGATCGTACTAGTTCTTGGTTTCCTCTCCCAAGATCTTAGAACTCATGAATCCATTCAGGTGGCACATTTGCTTTGTATTCTCTCATCTGTAGACACGCCAAAGTGAACACCATTCCAAACCAACACCCGACCGACCAGTACTTGACAACGTATAGCCGCCGCCCAGTGCCCGAGAACTCCCGAGCTTCCACCATCAAGAAGCTCCTCGAAGGCAGGAATTCCCTCCAGAAACTCCTGCTCGTCCTCGTTCTTCTTGGAACCTCCATGGTCATTGGCGACGGCGTCTTAACTCCAGCAATCTCGGGTATGTTTTCTTCGTCTTAAGCCACTCTAAACTAATCGCAGTCGTGTCCCTTTCGAATTTCTCCTTCCTCTTTTTGTGATCTTTTGTTTCGACCAGTGCTGTCATCAGTCAGTGGGATCAAAGTAGCTCATCCATCTTTTCACCAAGGTATAATATAATCTTATTCACAGCAACTTTATCGTATTCCATTCGTCTCGATCGCTGATCAAGCTACTATGCTCGATTTGTGCGCGCAGGCCATGTCGTGATCCTGGCTTTGATCATCCTCGTGCTCTTGTTTAGCATGCAACACGTTGGGACGGACAAAGTGGGGGTCATGTTTGGCCCCGTCATTCTCGTGTGGCTCTTGTCTATTGGAGCCGTGGGTGTTTACAACATCGCGATTCACAAGCCGGATATCTTCCGGGCCCTCTCTCCCGTCGCTGGCTTCGATTTCTTGAGGAGAACCAAATCCAAAGGATGGGCCAGGCTTGGAGGAATCGTGCTCTCCATCACAGGTAAACTGTCCTTTCTCTTGAAAGTTTCTATCTTGGTTTTTTTTCTTCTTCCTTGCGTCTGAGTGACGTTGTTTTGTCGAGTTTTTCTTTGATATTTTCTGGTCTTTCTTTCCTTGGTCTTACTTCTGGTCTAATGCATGTCAGTGATATTAACAGATTGAGAAACTACAGGAGCCGAAGCCATGTTTGCGGACTTGGGACATTTTTCTACTGTGTCGATTCGGGTGAGTGTTGTGAACTCCTTTTTCTTTGATCATGGAAGATAATTTTTTGTAAGAGTTCTTCGTGGTCTGTGTTTTGTAGCTGGCTTTCACGTCTTTGGTGTTTCCTTGTTTGCTGGCTGCGTACCTCGGTCAAGCGTCATTCCTTCTCAAGTTTCCCGACAAGGTGGACCAAACTTTCTATAGATCAATCCCAGGTAGGCGAGAGTTTTTATTCTTCTTGATCAAAAGCTCTCTCGCATTTTATCAGATCCAGTCTACTGGCCAATGTTTGTCATTGCAACAGTTGCAGCCATCGTTGCAAGTCAGGCAACAATCTCCGCCACCTTCTCCATCGTCAAGCAATCGGTAGCTCTCGGGTGCTTCCCCCGGGTGAAGATCATCCACACCTCCAACCGCATTCTCGGCCAAATCTACGTCCCGGAGGTGAACTGGATTCTCATGCTCCTCTGCCTGGCCATCACCGCGGGATTCCGAGAAACAACCCAAATCGGCAACGCTTACGGTTCGTCAACCCAAAGTTCTATCAAGATCGTCACCTCTCTTTTTTCTTCTCGATCCAAACAGGAATCGCCGTCATGGCCGTGATGCTCGTCACCACTCTTCTCATGACCTTGATCATGCTCTTCATTTGGCAGACCAACTTATCCCTCGTCCTCCTCTTCCTCGTCACCTTTGGCTCCGTGGAAACAATCTACTTCTCCGCGGTGCTCTTCAAGATTGCCAAGGGCGGCTGGGTTCCTCTCGCCATCGCCGCGGCACTCATGCTCATCTTCTACGCCTGGCACTACGGCACCGTCAAGCGCTACCAGTTTGAGATTCAGAACAAGGTCCCGCTCGCCTGGATCCTGGGCCTCGGCCCCAGCCTCGGCCTCGTCCGCGTCCCAGGAGTCGGCTTCGTCTACACCGATCTCGCCCACGGCGTCCCCTCGATGTTTTCTCACTTCATCACTCACCTCCCGGCGATACACTCCGTCCTCGTCTTCGTCTGCGTGAAGTACCTTCCCGTCAACACCGTGCTCGAGGACGAGAGGTTCCTCTTCCGGCGGATCGGCCCACCAGACTACTGGATGTACCGCTGTACCGTGCGGTATGGATACCGCGATCTCCACCGCAGAGACGAGCAGTTCGAGGAGCGCCTGATAGGAGCTCTGGCCGACTTCATCCGCAAGGATGATGACAACAATCGGGTGGAAACGTCGTCCACGGCGCCGTCGGAGCCGATGACCATGGCTGCCTCCGATCGGGAGCAGAGCTTGCCTTCCGCGATCTCGCCCAGCGATCGCCGGTTTAGCTTCAGCTACAACAGCAACGAGGAGGCGAGCTGCTGCTCGGTAGAGATCAGGAGGGTGATGGGCGATCAGTCGGGCACGTCGAGTTACAACTCGAGGGATTACCAGGTGGTGCTGAGCCAGCGGCGGATCGAGCATCAGGTGGTGGAGGATCAGCTCAAGTTTTTGGTGGCGGCCAAGGAGAGCGGCGTGGTTCATATCCTGGGGAACACGGTGGTCAAGGCGAGGAAGGGGTCGGGACTGGCCAAGAGAATAGCCATCAACCATGTCTACAGCTTCTTGAGGAAGGTTTGCCGCGAGACCAGCGTCATTTACCACATACCTCACGAGACAATGCTCAACGTTGGGATGATTTACGATGTGTAGGCAGGATTCTATGTGTACGTACAAGGAGTCATATGTATACATACTTTATGCCGTTCTTTGTCACCAAGATTCCTACTTTGTTTTGAAAAACAGATATAAACAAACGCTTGTGCAAACAGTTGCCTACACATCTTAGAGATGAAAGTATTTCTATTTTTGACTGTGTTCTGGTTTGCATATTGTGAAATAGGTACAAAATGTATTCAGGATGAAGGTGGAGGTGTAGGTGAGGGTGGTGGTGGGGGTAATGATGATGGTGGTGGAAGTGGTGCTGTCTTAAAACTTTTCAAATATCATGTGTGAAAAATGTCAACATACAAGAATTAAAAAGAAATCTTGAATCATAGATATGTGTATATCAATGATTTTTACTTTAAAACACCATTAGTTTTTAAAAATTTAGATATACAATGAATGTTTAAAACAATATTATAACATAATTTAAAAATTGGTAATATAATAAATGAAAAGAATGGTTTTATTTCTTTTTTCTTGTTCTAATTCTATATTTAACATTTTAGAAATATATTAACAAAGAAAATTAAACTAATAAACTTCTTAAATATGTTAAATTTTTATATGCTATAAGTGCATAGAATATGGAAAGAAAATACATAAATATACATATTAATTAACCCAAAAATCCTAGCTTATATACAGAAGCGAATGGTCTAGATTAAAACCAATCTGACAGCTACTAAAATCCCACTATGCTAATATTAGTATACAGCATTGCAACCGTATACTAGAAGGTGGCATTGGTGAATCTATAATTAGTGCTAGTTGTTCATAATCCCTTTGTATAAAGCATTTTAATCATTGCATATGCACAATTTTTGAAGGACCAACTTATTGGACATTAAGCTAAACCTCATCAACTTGCAGTCCAACTTATTGCAACACCTAATATGGTTCCTTCCATTGAGTAAAGAGTCACATACAGTAAGATTAAGAAAATAGACTAATGCCAAATTATCCATTTTGTATTTTGCAAGTGGATGATAATAGAAGTTGTAACACTATTGTTGTCCCATTTGTATGCAGTCCAGATATTCAACAAATTCTATTTAGATAAGTGGAAAGATGCTTGTCAAATACTAATCCTAAGATGTAACATCGGCGACTTGTGGCAATTGCAAAGATAAACTCAACTTCATTAGTAATACAAGATAATGATTATATAAGAGTTTATATGGTGAAGCATCAATAGAACTCTGCACCCTTGTGATATATGCATATCGAAGAGACGACAAATAATAATCCCAACCCGAATCCTGAAAGTTCACATACTTTGTGATCATCCATTTGAAGTTCTAAATGAGCCATTCCATTAAACTATTGAACTATGGATGATAAGTACTCATGAAAATGTGGTGTATCCCTAATCAAGACTTTAAAATAAATGAAAGACCATTATCTGAAAGAATTTGCTTCAAATTAAAATGCTGGAACACCATTCAACTGGGGAGGAAATAACCAACAACAATGGCAAATGCACTAGTAAGAGCACAAACTTCCACCCAATAAATCAAATAGTTAAAAGCAATAATGATATATACTCATTGCTAGCAGTTGACTGTGGAAAAGACCCTATTAAATTAAATGCCACCAACTCAAACAAATGGGCAATTGCAATTAACTTCAACTATCTTTCTGCAACATGAGGGGGAGTATAACGAGTTTGGCACTAAATGCAACTACGTACATACTAGATAACATTACATTGCATCTTTGGCTAATAGAAAGACTTATGTAGCTTCTCAGTCACACAATGATGTCCTATATACTTGCTTAGAATAGAAGAATTATGGTAGGAATAGAAAAAGCATGGAATAAATATTAAAAGCATTACCAATTGTAAATGATCATCAAGATTTGTCCCTATAAAATAAAGAAGATCATCCTCAAGGTTATATTAAGAATGTAAATGCCAAAATGGCAAGTCATTAGTAAATAATACAGAATTTTCAAACCTATCTTAAAACCTTTAAATCCATGGCTCAATCTTTTGAGCCTTGCGAACCTCATCAAAAGAAGGTAAATTTTGCTTTACACTTTATGAACACTGAACGTTAAATATAACAACTGCCAATAGTATAAAATCTTTATCCAAAAAATCCACAAATGTGGGAATAACAAGTTTATCAAAAACATGAGAAGAGAGCGAGGAGTTCAAAAAAGGGCATCAATATTAACCATAAAACTCCCTAAGTGATGAACACCATCAAAATTATATATCTGAAGCTTCAAAGCCTACTAAGTAGTACAACTAACCAAGTTCTTCCACTTCAATAATGAAGTAATTGTAACATGATTACCTTTTAGTAACGTTTGAGAACCATATAGATATGCATAAAGTTTTTTGAAACCCTAAACTATTCTTAAACACTCTTTCTTTGTCATGGAGTAGTTTACCTTCGTTGGTTGTAATGTACGGTTGATATATGCAATAAGATGGTGCTGATTAGGCACACTTGGGCTCTCTTGCATTAACATACTTCTAAGATTGATATCGAAAACATCCACATAAAAAATAAAAAGTTGAGTGTAGTTAGGATATATTAAAACTAGAGGAGTTGTCAATAGCTCTTTGAAATTCATAAATGCTCACTCACAGTTTGTAAACCAAATGAAAGATGATGCTGACAATTTCAAGAATACTCACAATGGTGCAATGCAATCAAAAAAATGATCAACAAAACAATTAAGATATTACACTTACTCAGGAAATGCTACATATCATTCACACACTTCAAAGAAGGGAACTTTAGAATAACTATAATTTTGTTATGATCAACTTATAAAGCTTCACAAAAAATATAATACTAAAGATAAGTTGTATCTTTGAACCCAAACATGCACTTCAACCACTTCAGTTTTAAATTAATTTCCCAAAGTTGATTCAACACTTTATAAACATTATGGATATATTCTTTCTATGTCCCCTCCGAGTGGATCAAGACATCATCAATGAAGTCAGTAGTTATCTCTAGTATATCGCAAAGAACTTCGTCCATCATCCACTGGAAAGTTGCTGGAGCATTATTCAAACCAAACGGCATCACTAAGAACTTATACACACTAAATGGTGTACAGAAAAAAGTCTTAAGAATATCATTTTCGGTCATCAATACTTGCCAGTAACTAGAAGCAAAATCTAACTTATTGAATTAATGACTTTTCCCCAAACGATTCAAGAGATCAGCAATGTGAGGAAGAAGGTACACATCAGGGATTATCACTTTATTTAACAAATGATAGTTGATGTAAAAATGAATACTCCCATTAGACTTCGTCACTAAATGAAATTCATATGCCCAAGGACTCCACAACTTTTGAATAACACATTTTTCCAACATTTCTTTGATGTTTGCATGTAAAATTTTAATCTCTTTGGGTGACTAACGATAAACAGGAACCTTTATTAAACAGGCATCCCTAGTTAGAATAGGATGACATGTTGCAATCTTGGTCCTAGACAATAATTCAAATTCAAAGAGATCAACATACTCCTTCATGAGGCGGTTAACCGTTACAACACAAAGACTGTCGAAAGGAACAAAAAAGGGAAAAAAGGAATAAAATAGAAACATAGAAGGAAGTAATGGGGAGATAAAAGTGATAGAAATAGAAATAGAAACAAAAGGACAAAAAGGAATAAAAGTAAAATGAATGGAAGAAATATAAAGAAGTATAAGACAAAAGAGAGAAGCTTCAAAGTCACATTTAGCATGATTATGCTGCAACCAATTTATACCAAGGATGAAGTTAAAAGTTTGACTCGGCACCACCCGTAATGATTGCAATTCAAGCTTGAGATTGCCCACACGGATAACTAAATCCACCTCATCCCGTGCACGTACATGTGTATGGCTATTGCTATAAAGAATGAAACTGACTTTGCCACATGATACAAATGTAGACAGCAATATGTGGCAATAGACCGAGCAATAGAAGATAAACTCAAGCTTATATCAACCAACATAAAGAAAAGAATAGGAGACTTCTTGTTATAAAAATGAGCTTGGAAAATAAATATTAGATGAACTGATGCCGAGTGAACCCTTTAATAATACTTCCAAAAGAAAGATAGAGAGGTCACTAACTTATTTACACAAGGTCCCTCTGCTACTTGCATGACTCCTCGTTTCTCAGAAGCATCTTAGTATTCAACCTTTCATTATAGTAGCACCAATAAGACATTGTTGACACCAAGGTCTTCACCCAAGAAATGGAAGTTGCCAATCCAGAAAATGCTAGTAAGTGTGATTAATTTCATCACATGCCTAATAGTGGACATTATGGCCACGACCATGTCTTCGCCCTTGTCCTTGAACTTAGGCAACAGTAGCATCAACCTCCATTGAAACAGAACCATCTCCTATAAAAAGTGGAGCTGAAAAACATGTAGTGAGAAGTGAAAGACGCAATATTTCATAATAATGTGCCAAGAGAAGAACATTATCAAAGGTGGCTGGAACAAGTGCATGCATAAGTCTTATAAGATCTTGATTAAGTGTTGACTACAATATTCCCAACTTGATCTATTCTGACATATTTGGCTTCGCATGAAGTAAGAGGTTTTAGAAATGAGTACCAAATTGCATCACTGACTTAGACTGCATTTGATGAAGATGGTGCAATTGTTAAAAGGCATTATTATAATTGTCAATATGTCCAGATATGCATTTGAAGATGTTTAGGAGAATGCTCTAATCCTCACGAGTGGCTACGTTCAAACCATTGTACCATTATAGTGCCATCTTTTTGAGACATATAGGAAACTTATGCAAATGCTGAGCTTTATCCCAAGAATAATATGTGGCAATCACCATAAAATGATCAAACTAATAATACACATCATCCCCAAAATTCTCACAGAAGAACTCTGCCTAAACATGGGGATTGATAGCAAAAGCAAGAGGAGCTATACTACATGTTGTGAATATTGATATTAATTGAATTTAATTATTCAACTACAACTATATGACACTGAGTAATTACACCCCAAAGTCAAAAGGAGGAAGAGGTTGCTATTTTGCCATGAAAATGAACAAAAAGAAAAGAACAAAAGAGAATAAGTTGGGAAAAACTATAAGAAAATGGAGATCTAAACAATGCAAAAGTTAAATTTAAATCAAAATCCTAAATTTTAGCACTTTTCAGGGACAATCAAAACTGCCTCTCACCTTCACAAATGTAAATGTATGTAATATGGAAATAAAATATAGAAGTGTGGATATTAACTAACCCAAAAACATTAGTTTATATATAAGAGTAAATGGTTTAGTTTAAAACCAATCTAATGGCTATCACTATGCTAATAGTAGTATATGGCATTGTAGCTGTGCACGTGGACCTCACAATGCATGAAGTTTTTTCTTATTTGACTTTATGCTTTTTATTATGTATAAATTTATGATAAAAAATTTAGTTTAAGTATTATATTGCTAGCATCATCATTTTAGGCACTATAAATTTTTAAATTTAATTAAGCACTATTGCATTAATTGTATTTTTTTATTTTAGTAAAATGAGAAGCATTCTATCCATATATAGTAATACAATTTTACGAATAACTTGTTAGTAAAGTGGTAAGTTTTGAAATTACACAGAAAAAAGTCCAAACATAAAATATGCTAACAGAAGTTCTATATTAATCGGCCAAAACCCAAAGCCCTAAGGAGCTCTTCCCCATTCAAATCATGGCGCACTGCGCGATATTTCTCGCCGCCTCGCCCCTGGCGCGGCGCTCGGCAGCCGCGAGAATGTCGTCTTCCATCTTTCTCCTCGGAAGACTGGTGCCGGCGCCGCGGCACGTTCACCAGGGAGTCGCATTTCGGGCTCCGCCGACGAGATTGCCCAGGTTTGTGCATCTATATGCTTTCCAGTGCAAGCTCGATTCTTTCGCCTGTTCTAGGCTCAGGACTGTTCGATGTGAATCACTTCCAAAGCATCGGCTTTTTGTCACCGCCACTGCTGTTACACAAGCGCCTGCTCCATCTCCAACCTCATACGATGCGGGAAAGATACAGGTACGTTGTGGTTGATTTTGATGTTCTCTAAATTTTTTTCCTGGTGATTGGGAAGGTTTTAGAAGGATTGGAGCCAGTAAGACGGCGTCCAGGGATGTACATCGGCAGCACTGGTCCTCGAGGTCTTCACCATCTGGTATCGTTTTTATCTTTTCTAACTCATGCTTTCGCTGATTTTCTCTCGTTTTTTCCTTTGGTTCTTCTCGGAAGATTTATGAAGTGCTGGACAATGCCATTGATGAGGTTCAGGCTGGATTCGCTACTCAAGTCGACGTTGTGCTTCACTCCGACGGCTCAGTCAGTATTACAGACAATGGCCGTGGGGTAAGAGATCTTTAAAGCACTCGTTTTGTTAACTAGCACTATTGTCAGTGCAGATTCCAACTGATGTCCATCCAGCTACTGGAAAGTCTACTCTCGAGACTGTTTTAACGGTACTTGTTCTTGAATGAGTTTCTCCATCCCACTATAAGTAATACAGGTCCTTCATGCCGGTGGTAAATTCGGTGGTGATGAGAGCGGATATACTGTATCCGGTGGTCTTCATGGCGTCGGCGTGTCAGTTGTAAATGCGCTATCTAAGGTAGATCGCGTACTCTCATATCCAAGCTGCTCACTTTGCTTCTTATAGAGGTTGGAAGCTACAGTCTGGCGCAACGGCCAGGAGTACCGACAGGTTTTTCAGCGAGGGAAGGCTGTTGGCAGCCTTACAACAAGAAGTCTTCCCAGAGAAAGCTCGAGCCGGACAGGGACTTGCGTGAAGTTCCTTCCTGACGACGAAGGTACGCTCTTTTAGTCCTTTACATTAGCTGACTGGCAACCATCGCCATAACAGTCTTCACAACAACGACTGCATTCGATCCAAACATCGTATCTAGTCGTCTGAGAGAAGTTGCATTTTTGAATCCAGAGGTTTGGTGTTGTTTTCCTTTCCGCGGTTCTTACACAACATCGTTTACAGGTTACTATTAATCTCAAAGAGGAAAGTGCTACTACCGACGAGGTGTTTCATTTTGGTGGTGGCCTCGTTGAGTATGTAGAGTGGCTGAACCAGGATAAGGTTTTACTTTCAAATCTTCTTCGGCTACTAATCTGCTTTGTGCCAGACGAAAATTCACGATCCAATTTCTTTCAGTGTAGAAAAAGACGATATCTCTGTTAACGTCTCCATGCAATGGTGAGCACCTTCATGTAAGTATCGTAATGTCTGAGCTCCCGCTTGACAGGTGTTCTGATGCCTACTCCGATACATTGCTGGGCTACGCAAATAGCATACGAACAGCAGATGGTGGTACGCACCTAGATGGCTTGAAAATGGGCCTGACGCGTACTCTAAATATCCTCGGAAGGAGAAGCAAGGCAATCAGAGTACGTCTTCTTCATGATCTGAGACCTTGCTTCCTTACGTGTCTTTTATTCAGGAGAAAGGCGATAATTTATCCGGTGAACATGCTAGAGAAGGTCTCACTTGTGTCATTTCGGTGAAAGTTCCCGAGCCGGAGTTTGAGGGTCAGACAAAGGTTGGTTTGTTTTTTCTCTGGATTTTCCGACTCGTGATCTATCCTATCATCCAGACACGCCTGGGTAACGTGGAAGTTCGTAAGATTGTCGAGCAAGCTGTTATTGAACAAGTGACTGAATACCTTGAATTTCGTCCCGACACGCTCGAGGCCATCCTGTCGAAAGCTCTTCAGGCTTACAAGGTACCTCTGTTCATACTTTTATTGACGTCTAGCTTACTGTGTTACTTTTAGGCGGCTGAGGCTGCCAAGAAAGCGAGAGAATTAGTGAGGCGGAAGAACGTTTTGAAAACGTCAACCTTGCCAGGAAAGCTTGCAGATTGTACGTCCAGCGATCCACGAGTGTCAGGTAGGCGCGACCTTATGTATACGCACGTGATTTGTTTTCGAATTTCTAGAAATATTCATCGTTGAAGGGGAATCCGCCGGTGGTAGCGCGAAACAGGGTCGCGACCGGGCGTTCCAGGTGATTTATCCCTGGCATTTTCGTTTTTACGGAGAGTGGATGTTTTGACAGGCGATACTTCCACTCAAAGGAAAAATCCTCAACATAGAAAGGAAGGACGATGCTGCTATTTACAAGAATCAGGAAATTCAGGACCTGATAGTTGCTTTGGGACTTGGAACCAGGGTAGATTTGTTAATATTGTTTTTTTTCCTGTTAACCTGATGTTTGTTTGCAGGGGGAGGAGTTTCATAAAGACACTCTTCGTTATCACAAGATAATTATACTCACAGATGCAGACGTCGATGGTGCTCACATACGAACGTTACTACTCACATTTTTCTTCAGATACCAGGTATAGATCTTTGGATAATGCGCAGGCTTTGATTGTTGATGACGTTGTAGAGAGCTTTGTTTGATGGCGGATACATCTACGTTGGCGTGCCACCCTTGTACAAGGTCTGTTTAAAGCTCGCTTGGTTTCTCGATTCTAAACATAATTCACAGGTCGAGAGAGGAAAGCATGCTCACTATTGCTACAGCGAGAATGAGCTGCAGGGATTGTTGGGAACGTTTGCCGCCAATGCTCCTTACAATATCCAAAGGTTTAAAGGTAATGGCATACTTAGCAGAAAAGTTCACAACTCATTTGGCAAGATTGCAGGTTTGGGCGAGATGATGCCTCTTCAACTATGGGATACGACATTGGATCCATCCAAGCGAATGCTCAAAAAGCTGACGCTAGAGGATGCTGTGGAAGCAAGTTTTACCTTTTCTCGCCTCATGGGAGACAAAGTGAGTGATTCGAACCTAGTTGGTCTGACTGAGTAGTGGGACTTTGGCAGGTGGAACCAAGGAAGGAGCTCATCCTGAAATCAGCAGCTCAGTTCAAACAGCAGAACCTTGATGTCTAAACAGTCGCATCCTGCGTTTTCTTCGACCAAATGCAATTTGTAAGTTTCCCACTGTTTGTGCGTACGATTCCACTCCTACTTATGGTCTTGCAATCCTTGACTTCGACGTAGGTGTGATGTGGGTGAAGCTTCTATCGGTGCTTGAAAAGTTCCACGCATAATCTTCTCCTGCTTTTTGTTTAAAGTCGGCATTCATTCTCGCCTTGAAAACGCTTGCTGCCTTTTTTTAGTGTATGGAACCGTGAACGAATCAATGCGTGCTCATTTCAAAGTGTTACAAGGAAGGAATATGATCACCACGGATCCGGTATGATAAACTAAACGATTTTTGTGGAAACTCTATGCCAACTTGTTTGACCAGGCAGCAGAAGGTGAAACATCCACCAAGATGCGAAGAGGAAGAGAAAGAAGAGCATGTTGCCACCATGATTGAGGACTGATTGAGAAGAGACAACCAGATAACAACACGAGGAAGAGAATCAACCCGCAAAGCAAAACAAGGATTTCTTCGCCGAGGCATTACTTCGAGGTGGTGGTATTGTCGCGATCAACGTTAGACAACTCGAAAGACTGTAAAGTATGGCAAGATCGAGCAAGCACGACAGTTTGGACGGCTACGAACAAACGTTAAAAAGGGTGAAAAAGCGTTGCAAAGGAAAGTACTAGTGCCAGTGGACGTAGACATCCTAAACCATCAGTGCCGCTTCGCTCCTAGTCTCAGCGAGAGATCCAGCTCGCCCGAGTCATCCTCGAATGGATCAGAGTTCTTCAACGACGACAGGTTGCATTGGTGCTGCTGCTGTTGCTGCTGTTGGTGTTGGTAGTGCTGCTGCTCTTCCGCCGCCGGCGCTCCTCCGACCAAACCATTGATATGAAACCGAACACCCGACTTAACTCCGTGACCAAACATCTCGACCGACGGGCTTCTTTGCAGCTGGTGTTGCTGTTGAGACGACGATCCCGCGAGAAACGAAGAAGCAGCTCTGGCAGCAGCGCACCAACCTTTGGAGTCCAGGCCGCTCAATGATGGGTGGTGGAATCCAAATCCGGAGAAGCTGGAGCTATGGTGGTGCTCGCCAGAGTTTGGGTGGGACGACGATGGCAGAGTGGAGTTCTTGTGAAGACTACTTGGTGCCGTGGCGACGGTGGACTGGGCTTCCACTCCCAGGGACCTGTTGTTGGCGGCGGCGGCGGCGTTAAACCCGTGGAACGCGGAGCCCGAGCTTCCGCCGGGAAAACCGATGGTGGGGGTGATAGCGGTGGTGGTGGTGGTGGTGGTGGCGGCGGCGGTCCTAGCACCGTGAGCTCGTCGAGCGGCGGTTCTCTCCCTCTTGTGCGCGTTTTGGTGGCCACCCAGCGCCTGCGAGCTTGGGAACTTTCGGTCACAGTAAGTGCAAGAGAATTGGCGATTGGTGGTGGTGGTGGCGATCGACGCGTGGTTCTCAGCAGCAGTGCTGGCAGCGTGAAGAGCAACCGGCGCGAGAGGAGCGATGGCGGCGGTAGCAGCGGCAACGGCGGCGGCGGGGCTTTGATGATCTGAGGATGATCCCAGCGACGTGCTGCCCTCCGACACAACGGAAGTGCTGGACGAGAGGGATGATCTCCAGTGCTCTCTCGCCTTGGCGACGTGATCTTGCTTTGAGAGATGGTGATGATCCAGGTCCCTTGACAAGAATCCAAGCTTGGTGGTGGCCCCGCCAAGGAAACAATGAGCCACCGCCGCCGCCGCCGCCGGCGAAGTCGAGGAGGAAGTTATAATCTCCTCGCCACACACCTCGAATTCCCTTGTCACGATCGCGCTGCTATCCTCCTCCTCCTCCTCCTCCTCCTCCATCTCTTCATTCTCGAGCTCGTGATGACGACCACGATGATCCAGCTTGGGATCTTGACACCCAGCAGCGACGATTCTAGCTTGATCGAGATCGTCACCTCGATCTAGTTCTAATGCCTGGCCTTCCTCTTCTTCCTCTAGTCTGGAATTTAGATTCAACCTCTTGGGATACCTTGCTGTTCCCTCTCCTCCCACGCCTGGAACTCTTCCTTGATCTTCTTGTTCCTCTTGTTCTTGCTCTTCTTCTTCTTCCCTATGTTGGTCCTCAAAGCTCCTCTTGCTGCCCATCCCGGCGGATCCAAAATCTCTAAGATTGGATCGATCAAAGAGAGGGGAGAGAGAGAGAGAGAGAGACCCAGCAAAAAAGAAGAAACCAAGGAGAAGGAAGCGCACAAAAATTACAGCCTAGAGCAGCTAATCCAAGCTCTCCACATTTTTTTGTATCATCAGCTTTCACAGTTTAAAACCATCCCTCTACTCAACAAAAACAACAATTTAGTGTAATTGGAAAATTTCCACAAGTAAAATGGGATCGTGTGTTGTCGGAAATAGCTAACATAATTTGGAAATCGAAATGCCAGCGTGATATTTTTTTGACATGAAAGGATGTTGGTATGGTCATTAAAGAATAGGTCCCAAGTCAAAGTGTTCCACTAGATCATCACTCACATGGGAAGAAATCGTATAAAAGATAAATTTTGACACTCAATCTAATGCCAAATCCACAGCACATTTTTCTCCACTTAGTGTTTGCACCAAACACAATATCTCTGAAAAAAGAAGCCATTAAAACCACGCCCAGGAAGACTTTGAGCCGCCACAATCACTTTGCGAAGCTTCCGGCCATCGAGGAGTACGCTACGAAACGATGGATGATAAGTTCTTTCTATCTTGCTTCCAGAAAAACACTGCATTTACAAACTCTACGAGAGAAAAAGTGGAAGGGGGCGAGCGAACGTACTTCCCTCTACATCACGGCTTCTTTCTTTACCAAAACCATCAATCCACCCACTAGCAGTACCCGTCCATCCATCCATCATGTACACGCGGTCTCGTAGAAGACCGAGCCTTGCAGCTCTGGACCGTCCAGGCGGGGATTGTTCTCAAAGCTGCGAGTCAGACGAGCAAGAGACGAGTCAGTCTCGGTCACAGTGCTGGGTCAAAAAAGACGACTCACTTCTTTGCGGGGAATCTCGCGAACGAGCCGGAAGTCGGGATCGTCCCGCACAGGTTGTTCGAGGAAACGTCCCTGGAAAGCCGAGCACGCGAGTCAGACAAAGTGTAGAGGCGGAAGAAAAGAAAAGAGGAACTCTGTCAGGAATCGCCTGGGGAGTGAGTGGACTTACACGACTTTAAGGCTCGCGATGGAGGTGAGCTCACGGGGGATTCGCCCTCTCAGCTGGTTGTTGTTGACCCGCCTGCACGTCTTAAAAGAACCAGTCAAGCGCACTAAAGCTCATGGTGACCAAGACACTTACAGGAAGACGAGCGACTTGAGGTTGCCAAGGGACGCTGGAAGCTCCCCTGTGAAGTTGTTCATGTACAAGTCCAGGCTCACCAGGCTCTTGAGTTGGCCGAGCTCCTCCGGGATCTTGCCCCGGATGTTGTTCTTGTAGAGCTCCCTGAGAGCACCGAGGATTATAATCTCTTCCTAACTTTGTGTTTCTTGTTGAGAAGAACTTACAGGTATTGGAGATGCTGGAGGCTTCCAAGCTCCGGGACGAGAACGCCGGAGAGGTTAGCATTGCCCAGATCCCTGTCCACATAGAAAGAGTTTAGTTCTAGGCGTAGAAACTTACTCGGAAGATGATCGATCACGAGAACTTACACGCGAGTCACATGATTCCGACGATCACAGGTAACGTGGAACCAGGTGCAAGGATTCACAAGGGTCGGGTCCCAGCTCTGGAGAACATTCTCCGGGTCAATCAGGCTTCTTCGCAGCGCGTAGAGGGCATCGCCTATAAACCAAAAGAGGAACAAAAGTGAGATTTCACTCATAGGCAAAAAAATCGAGCAAACCTTCGGAGTTGCACGAAGCAACGCTCAGGTAGATCAGAGCCGCAAGGGCCGCCGGAAAAAGGCCGGAAAACTCCATCTCCTAAAGAGGAACCAAAACACATAGCTAAGAAATACTCCCCATGGAAGAATGCGGGCCTAGAAACAAGAGAAATTTCCAAAATTTCCGCTCACCTCTAATGTGGAGTACCGCCGGCACCGCCGCTCTCAAATCGAAGAGACGAGATGACAAGACCTAGCTAGAGAGAGCGAAGAACCCTAAAAACCACGCTCACTCGTCACGCTCCACTACCAGAGGTAAAAGAGAGCGTTTTGACTGACTGGCGCATTAGCCGGCACGTACACGGCACACGACCGTACGGAATGGTAAAAGTAATACATTTTTATTCTAGAGCGTGTAAAACGGTAACTGTCACAAACAAATATAGTATGCCGCCATCCCTCTATCGGATGGAAACGAAGGAACAGTAAAGAGCCGATAGTAACAGCGCCACGCACGCCGCCGGGGCCGGCGGGCCGCACCGCGCGGTACTGCTGGCGGCACCGCCCGTCTCGTTGGCCCCCGCGGGCGCCACGTTCACCGTGACGGGCGGCGCGCCGGGCGCGATGGCCGGGCCCGGGATTACAAACGCCGGCGGCGGGCGCTGCAGCGGCATACCGCCGGGCGCGTTGGCCGGCGCGAACGCCCCCGACGGCCCCGACGCCGGCCCATTGGCGGACGCCAGGCTAAACGAGGGATTGAGCACGCGGTCGATACCGTGGCACGTCACGACGCTCGTGGAGTTGCCGCACATGTTGGGCCGCACGATCCGCGCGGTATTGAGGCGGTACCCCGCGGCGCTGTTGTCCGTGACCACGAGCTGGTTGCCGAAGAGCAGCGTGGGCAGACGCTGGCCAACCGGGAACTCCGAGAGGACGTCGTACGGCAGGACGCCGGTGACCGCGTGGTAGAGCAGGAGCGACGGTATCTCGGACTGGTTGAGGTTGACGAACGCCGCGATGGCCTCGTTGGTGGGGATCATGAGCGTGGAGTAGGCGGGGATGAAGTTGGACAGCGCCTTGATCGCCCATCCCGCCAGGCTGAAGCCGCCGGTGCGCAGGGTGTCGATGATGGACTGGGCTACCGCGGGCGGTATGGTCGGGAGGCTCCCCACGGGTATACCGCCGCCGCCAATTGGGATACCACCGCCGCCAATTGGGATACCGCCCCCGCCGCCGCCACCGATGCCCGGGATGGGGACCTGGGCTTCCAGACGAGCCAAGAACAAGGCGGAGAAGAGAAGGGCTGTGAGTGTAACTCTGCTGGATCCTCTTCCTCCCATCTCTTTGTGGAGCGATGGGAAGGATGGGCACTCTCGAAAGATTGGAATTGCCTACCTTGGGGATCGCCCATGCCGCGAGCTTATATGGGGACCAAAACTTCCAAAAGCATGCACCGTCACCACCGCCTCTATCAACGAGTTTGATATAACCTTCCTTTCTCGGCATTTTTCACAAAATTAGGGTTCTAGAGTAAAATGAGTATTTGTAACAAAATTAGGTTTCAAGAGTAAAAAATCCGTATCCTCTGGTTTTAGGGCAGACATGGCAGAGTCTATCCAGTTCTTCGCGGGATCCTTCTCCACGGCTTTGCCCGCGCATCGAAATCGCAGCTTGCCAAATGGATCGTCGCTCTTCTTCGCTAGAATGCGGCGGAGATTGGCGGCCGCAGCTCCCGAGAATTGGGAGGGGGTGATCAAGCTGGAGGAGGAGGAGGCGTCGACGCTGATTGATCTTTGCCGGGATTTGGACTGGGAGGGATGCGTGGATGCGCTGCGCAGGGAGGCGCTCCGGATGAATGATGCGACCAGGGCTGGCGCGGCGAGAGTGGCGCAGGGGGTTAGCTGCGCTGCTAGTGGTGGGAATGGCAATGGCGAGCAGTGGGACTACAAGGAAGCGGTCGCGGATTTGAGAAGAAGGGCGAGTTTCCAGGTATGAAGTAGCTTGTTGGATTGTTTCTTGGAGATCTCGGCTTGAGTTTCATGGTTCTTTTTCTTGTATCCTCCATCGTTTTGGATTCTTCTATCTATTGCGTTTCGATCGTCTTTGATGATATGCTTCATGAATGCTTGATTGTTCTACTCTTGTGTTCTTTTATTTTTCTATCGCTCACTTCTAGATTTTATCCAGGCTGCTGAAGAGATGGTCAAGAATCTCAATCCACCGGACTATGCTCAAGCAGTCTCTAAGCTCGCTCACCAAATTCTAAACGCCTGCGACCAACACTTGCAAGTAAACCCCTTCTAGTATTTTTCCTCGGGTTGATCTTTTCATGTTCTTAGGACGACACTTGCGGTGGAGGAAACGGATCAACGAGCCCAGCGACGGCACCCTCGTTTCTCCTGGCAACTCTCGCGGGTCTTCACGGTTTCATTGGCTTTTCCGCCATGGCCGACGAGTTCCAATCTCAAGCTCAAGCTGCTCAAGACAAAATTCCATCTTGGCTTCCCACTGCTGTTCTGGGAGCTCCAGTTGCAGCGTACTTGATCTTCAGCGTCTATAGAGACCAGGTAACTCCACAAAAAAAACTCCATTTTTTCTCAGCCACAGGGAAAACTCTGGCTTTTCAGGTGAATCCTCAAGCAAAGCTCACGGATTTTTTCTTTGCTCTGGCTGCTATGTTTATAGTTGGGAACCTCATCACTTCAGCCACACTCGGGGTAAGGAAAAATCAAATTTTTTTGTCACTCTTTGATCGTGGCTGTCAGGTGAGGCTCTATTAAATTCTCCATGAGGCTCTCTCTACTGAAGACCATGTATATTCTATTCTCGTTCTAAGAATGCATAAGATACCGCCACGCTAGACGTCTTACATGCCGCCACGTTGCTGATTCTACCACGTGGCTCCATCTTAGGCGTTCGTCCGGGGCACGAGCCCTAGACATTGAAAGGGGAGATAGAAAGGAAACTCGTGTGAGGGTCTGGGCAGTGAGTTCTAGGGTTTTTGGAGCGGCGGCTGGATCAATGGCATTGATCTGGAGGGTGCTGCTGTCCTTCGTGCTGGTTTTCGCGATTTTGTGTGTTGGAATTCGGGGCGATGCAGGTGTAGAGGATGGGGACTTAAGCGTGGGGCAGAATTTAAGGCAGGCTGAGCTCGATCGGGAGATTATCGAGCTCCGCAAGCAAGTATCGGAGCTGGAGGCACGGCTATCAGTCACAGGTAGAGAAAATCCCTTTTATCATCCATACGTTGTCTAATGTGTTTTCCCTCCTTGCCAGATTCTAACTTAAAGCAAGCGAAGCAAGAGTCCTTTGAGAAGAGCAAAAAAGTCGTTTCATTGGAGAGCGAAGTAGATTCTCTCCAGGTGAGTGCTATAGATCGATTTTTTGGACTGGAAGTGACTGTGCTGTGGGTAGAAGCGGGCATCTGGCGATGTGGAGAAGAAAATTCAGAGTCTGGAGGCAAAGGCGGAAGAATTATCATCAAAGGTGGAATTTGTCGGTCGTACTTTCTTGTTGTTCTGTCGTAACCCGCGACTTTTAGGTGGAACAACTCGAGGAGAACTTGAAAAAGTCGAGGGAAAACGCACAGCAGTTGCAAGACAAGCTGGAATTGTCGGAAGCCAAAGTTGATGAGCTAACCACAAAACTCGCACAGGTTTGCACGAAGATTATCCTTTTCGAATCCTTTGATGCGAGAAAAATTCTCTTTTTCTAACCAGGCCGAGAAGAGCAGTGCCCATCTGCGAAAGAAAGCGCGTGATGCTGAGGAGGCACGTAAGATAGCTGAGAATCTTCTGCTAAAGGCAGAGTCCGAGGCAGCTGCGAAGGCTCAGGAACTTTATAAGGTGTTTCGATTTTTCATTCGTCGTTCGTTGTGACAAGATTTGCAGGTTTACGAGGCTTGGCTGCCACCGTGGGCCGCGGGCCGACTAGCGCAGATACAGGTAAGAAGTGTTTTTGATGATATTTTCATTCATCTGTTGTGCGTGTATAGTCAACTTCGGCAGTGTATTGGACCCTGCACGGTGAACCAGTTTTCAAGAAAGCTGCGGAGCACGTAAGACGATTATTTCTTCAATAGCATGTCTCATCTATAACCATTATCTGTATCAGGCCTCTCGACACGCCACAACGGCGAAGGAATGGGCTCAACCTCACGTAGATACTCTTAAGAAGGTACAGATTATCTTGCTTTTGTCAATGGCTTTAAGATGAGCTTCATTTTTTCTCCAGAAAGTAGGCCCTTCTGCGAGTGCGTACTGGAATACTGTCTCCACGAACGGCAAAGTTCTGGCTTCTAAAGTGTCAGAGGCCTACAATGTTCACTTGTCGCCCCACTTTGTTAAGGCGAACGAACAACTTATGCCTCGCATCAAGGTCTGCAATCGTCCATGTATCGGATAGGTTTCTTACATCCTTTCTCTCATTTGCAGTCTCTACGGAAACAGCTTCGGCCGCACGTAGACAAAGCTGCTGCGTACGTCCGTCCTTATTACGAGAAATCTCAAGAATACGCTGCTCCTCACATCGAAAAGGTGCATCAAGTTTCCAAGGAGGCACTGACCTCGGCTGTAAATTATCACAATAAGGTAAGTCTTAGAAGCCGAATATTGCTGGCAGCTGCTGATTCTTCTCACTTTCTTTCAGATGCAAAACTCAGTTCGCGGGCTTTTATTGAAGCACGAGGTGTCGGCAGGCTGGGCGGCGAGTAAAGAGCTCGTTTGGTTTCTCGTAAGAGATTTATTTCCAGTTGCGTGTTTGACAGCTCTAATTTACTTCTCCTCTCATAGGCGATGGCGGTTTTGGTGCTACCAGCGGCTGCAGCGATGCATTTGGTGTTGAGCACCTTCAGGTAAAGAGTTGAATTTGAGCTTGCACTCTCAAGCAAACTGACTAGATAACTTGGCACTCCAGTGGTAGCAAGAAGGTGAAGAAGCCGAGCCGGAGCCACGCCAACGCGCACAAAAAGTCCAAAAAGTCAAAGCATCAATCGTCGTCGTCTTCATCGGCGGCGACAAGCGCAGAGAAGCACGTAGAGAAGCAGTAGAAAAAGAAAAACGAAGTGGCCTTGTCAAGATTGAAATCTTTCCGGATATATCGCTCGCGCTTACTGCTGGCTCCTTTGGACATGTGTATAAAAACACTAAAATTTTTGTGTACGCGCAAATATCATCAGTTCCATTATATAATAGTTGATGTTTACGAATCATCATTGGCTCCAGCCCTTTTGATATTTAAGTTCCAACAAGAAACAGTAAAGTCACAGCTGCAAAAAAGAATTCTCCTACTTTATCCTTTGTGATGGATAAAATTGGCATCGTCCTCTTTTTCTCTCTAACGTACACCTCAAGTCCAGGTCAAGAGGCTATATATTAATCCGCATTTCTTCCACGTGTGCCAAATAGTCTGTCCTAGTGTGTTTGGCTATGGTGATTTTTTGACACATTGAGTTGTAATGACTTCTATAGAGTTCTATAAAGCCCTAGCTTATAATGTGTGTTCCTAGGTCCCTTCTTTGTTTGCTTCCTGGAAATCTCTCCAGCTCCTGTTGCGGCGGCAGCGCTTAGTGAGATTTTACTGGCATTTGGATTGAATCGGAGTGGGGCGAGGTGAGATTTCCGATCTGAGAGAGCGAGCTTAGCATTTCAATTAGAGTGGGACCGATTTGGATCTGCGAGGAGGGAGAGCCGATCTATCTGAGGGATATTTCTTTGTCGCTCGCGCTGGATCGATCTCGATCGCGATGAAGTTTGGCAAGCAGTTTGAGACGCAGCAGGTCCCGGAATGGAGGGAGGCGTACTTGAACTACCGGCAGGGCAAGGAGATCGTCAAGCATATGGCCAAGATCAAGAAGCAAAGCCAGGAGGAGAGCGAGCCGCAGCTCTCCAGGAGGATCTCAAACTTCCGGAGGCTCGTCAGCGGATTCCAACATGCGCATTCGCCGCGGGGGGCGCGATCGCCGACCTCTCCGGAAGCACGGGAGGAAGAGATGATCCTGGTATGAGATTCTTCTTCTTCGGGATTCACTTAACGTTGTAACACTTTTTCTTTTGTGGATATAGATCGAGCCAAAGCAAACTAGCGATGGCATGGAGTTCCAGACAGCGTTCTTGGGTGTTGGTAGCCCGCACAACGAGCTCGAGAGAACGTTTTTTCGGCTGCTCGACGAGGAGCTGGCCAAGCTCAACAAGTTTTACAAGTCCAAGGAGAAAGAGCTCGTGACGCAGGCGGCGGCGCTGGATTCCCAGATGGAAGCTCTCCTCTCGGCAAAGAAATCCTTGAACAACTTAGACGCTGGAAACGAGGAGAGCAACGCTAGCAGCCATGGCCACCTGTCCGTGGTGGAGGAAGATGGAGGGAGCCTTCGACAGATAAAGATTGACATCCCTGCGGCGAAGCCAGCCGACGCGCTGGCTGCTCTCTTCGCGGAGCTGGCCAACAAGTCCATCACGAACTTAAACTCGCGGCGACTGAAGCGAGCCGAGGAGATGCTTCAGAACGCCTTCGTGGAGTTTTACAAGGGACTCTACATCTTGAGAAACTTTTGGTACGTAAGTTCGCTTTTCGAAAGTTCGTGTTTCATGTTGTCCTGTTCCTCTGCAGCTCGTTAAACATAATTGCGTTTTCGAAGCTCCTGAAAAAATACAACAAGGTCAGCCAGCTTTTTTGACATCCACCGGTTTGACTTACACAGATTCTTTGTACGATGCCTCCAGGTTACTCAGCGGAACCTTGGAAGGAAGTACATGAAAGCCGTAGAAGATTCATACATCGGACAATCTGAGATTGTAAGTGATCGCACATTAATATTCTCAATCGGTGTTAATGCCACTCGATGTATCTCACTTTCAGATCCAAAAGCTTATGGAAAAGGTAGAGGTACTGTTCACCAAGCATTTCACGGATTCAAACCGTCGTGACGCGATGCAAGTTTTGAGACCCGAGGCCCGGAAGGAGAGGCACCGGATATCATTCTTTGTAGGTAATGTGATGTGAGTCCTCCAAGGTGCCTTGTTAACTTAACAGCTTTGTTTGCGCAGGTGTATTCTTTGGTCTCTCTGTTGCTCTTCTAGTGTCTCTCGTTTTAACCATTCGCGTCGAGAGGCTATATGTTCGTGAATATGCTATGACATACATGGATGCAGTGTTCCCGATTTTCAGGTGAGACCTTAGCTAATATCTTTGTCTAACTTTCTCATGAGATATACTTCTCTTTACAGTATGCTTACAGCAGTACTGCTACACTTCTTCCTCTACGGACTAAACATATATATGTGGAGAAGGACCAGAATAAATCACACGTTTATTCTTGGGCTCAACCGAAAGTCCGAGCTACGCTTCCGAGATGTGTTTTTGCTCGCAACGGGGCTGAGTACATTAGCTCTCAGTGGGTTGATACTACACTTGCAATTGACGGCTGGTGAGAGATGCTGCCAAACATATCAGGAAATCATCCCGCTTCTCGTTGTCGCTGTAAGTATTTTGCTTTAGTAGATTTTTTGTACCAAATGCCTGAACTTCCGTGTACTTCAGGGAATGGTCGTGCTTCTGTGTATGCCGTTCAACATACTCTACCGCGCCACCCGTTACTTTTTCTTGAACGCCCTTTGGCATTGCCTATTGACGCCATTCTACAAGGTTCGCAGTGTCTCTCGTCATATATCAACTTGTTATTCATGCTTTTGTTTATATGACAGGTTATCATCACGGATTTTCTTCTCGCAGACCAGCTTACGAGTCAGGTACATTCCGACAGCCTCATTCTCAGCTTTGTTACAAACTTTGAGTTGCAGGTTCCGGCACTGAGGGATCTGGAATACGTTCTATGCTACTTCGGCGGTGGATTTTTCAAGGACCGCAACAGCAATGCCTGCCTCAAGAATCCGACCTTCATCACGTTTGGATTCGTCATGGCGTTGCTACCTTACTGGTGCCGTTTCTCGCAGGTAACTTCATTCGTCTCGCAGATTCTTTTGAGCTCCTCCTTGGTAACTTACGTAGCTCCTCTCTTGCTGACAGTGTCTACGGCGTTGGTACGATGAGAAGGATGTGATGCAGCTGTACAACGCTCTCAAATACTTCTCGGCGATCCTGGCCGTGGCAGCGAGGCTGGCCTACGGATACCACAAGGATCCACTGCTGCTGGGCTTCACCATCGCCATCTCCGCCACAGCCGCCATCGTCTCAACTTACTGGGATTTAGTCTACGACTGGGGCCTTCTCGAGCGAAACTCCGCCAATCCCTGGCTCAGGGACAAGCTCGCTATCCCATACAAGTCGGTCTACTACTTCGCCATTGTAAGTTCTTGCCATCAACTTATCGGTTTCAGTTCTAAAGCTCTCGGTGACAATGTAGGTGTCAAACATTTTGCTGAGATTCGCATGGCTCCAATCCTTGATACCGATTTCGATGCCAGGGATAAATCCCAAGGGGCTGTCGCTCATCGTGGCTAGCCTGGAAGTTATCAGGCGTGGACAATGGAACTATTACAGGTAAATCTCGTCACATTCTTCCATCTCTCTGGCTCTAAAATTCGCAATGTCTTTGATCTAGGCTGGAGAACGAGCATTTCAACAACGTTGGAAAGTTTCGTGCTGTCAAGTCGGTGCCTCTGCCGTTTGTGGATTGATGTTTTTCCCTCCCTTTTTTTTTGTAAACAGAATCTTTTGTAAATAGACGGAATGTTCTGACCTGCTAAACAGAATATTTGGGCTAGCAGAATATGTAAGGCATTTTGGCGGGCTTTGAGTTGTGGCGGCTATGGAGGCGCCTGGCGACGATGAGCTCGAGTGGATGGCGATGGAGCAGGGTCAGGCCATGGAGGAAGAGCTTCTCATGGATGAAGCGTTCTTTGATCAGATCCGGGGCTCCGATGGGTTTGAGGAGGGCAGGGGAGGGTTTGAAGATGTGAATGCCGGCGGCGGCGAGGATGCGCAGCGCGATCTGCCAGGTTTGGCCTACATTCTGAAATTTCTCATGGATTTTTCCTTTTCCCCTATAGTGAAGAGAAAGCTCGTGATTCCGGATGTGTGCGTGTCGCCAATCAAATCAAGGAGAGTCCAAGATGCTATAGCGAGAAAGGAATGCGCGATTGCCGTGGAAGAGGAAAGTACCATTGTTCTCGAAGACTGCCGCGAAGAAAGTTTTTATGGGGAAGAAAATTTTCGCGAAGAATTGGATCAACACCATTTCCCGCGAAAGCGTGCGGCGGACATTGCCGGGGAGCTGATTTCCATAACTGGGCCATCAGGTGAGCGAGTCTATGCCGAAGTTGATAGAAACTTCTCTCCTCAGCCGGTGCTGCGTGATAAGAAACAAGGTATGATCATTTGGACTCGTGACGAACTTAACTCGACTTTGTTGCTCCAGACCAGCTTCTCTCGATGCCCATCGAGAAAATGATTGAACAACTGGAGCTCGAACAGTTCAAACAAGTATGGCAGCTTTTCGTTCTTGATCAACTTATTTTCATGGATTTTCTCGAAGGCTTGCGAGCTCGCTGAGAAGGAAAAAGATCCTATCGCTGTCTCAGCGGAGAGGATTGACCAGCTGTGGGTTGATAAATACTCGCCGAAGTCGTTCACCGAGCTTTTGAGCGATGAACAGATCAATCGAGAGGTATGTCATGATTTTACGGATTGTTTCATGTGTGTAACGTTTTCATTAGTAGGTCTTAAGCTGGTTGAAGCAGTGGGATCTATGCGTTTACGGTGTTAAAAGGCACTCTACACCTAAAGAGGTTCTCAAAGCTTTGCAACAACACAAGCTTGGGCAACAACCTTCTGATAACAAGTTTAAACGATATGAGGCGAAGAGCAAATGGAACAGCGTCAACGATAACAAGAGTTCTTCAGGTCATGACAAGAGCTCTTCAGGTGATAATAAGAGTTCTTCAGGTGACCGGCCAGATCAAAAGGTACTTCTTTGGTCCCTGCTACATGTACAACAGTTTTATGGCTTCTTTTAAGCAGGTCCTTCTTTTATGTGGCCCTCCGGGCCTTGGGAAAACGACGCTTGCACATGTTGCAGCAAAGCATTGTGGATACCGCGTCGTCGAGGTTGGCATGTTCCTGTGATTCAAGTTCCTTGTATGTATCGTTTCAACTTATGCAGATTAATGCCAGTGATGATCGCACAGCGTCCTCTTTTCAGACCAAAATTTTGGATGCTCTTCAAATGAAGACAGTCACAGGAGATTCTAAGCCAAACTGTCTGGTAATTTCTCACTGTGGAAGATATACTGAATGCTATGTCATTGACAGATTCTTGATGAAATAGACGGAGCGGTCAGCGGCACGGAAGGGAAATCGTCTGTCAGTTTTTTAGTTGATCTGGTATGTGTCAATTTACACAACGTTAATTGAATAATTTTTGCTACAGCTTTCTGCAGAGGCGAAGGCTGTGTCTCGAAATGATAACGACGATAAAATGTCCAAACCTCAAAGGAAGAAGACTGCCATCGCTCGACTATCTAGACCCGTAAGCTTGCGTCCTATAGAGAACCTCGCCAACTTTTGTGGCACAGATCATTTGCATTTGCAACGACCTTTATGCTCCTGCCTTACGGCCTTTGCGTCAAATTGCCCGGTACCGCAACACCATCTCTTTTGTATCTTAACAGCAGTTTTGGCAGGATTCATATATTTTCTCCTCCAAGTCCTCATAGGATAGTGACAAGGTTGTAACTTTTTCATTTGCTCTTCAAAACCACTCACGGTGTCTATGCAGACTAAATTTCATTTGCAAGTCAGAAGGTTACAAGGTGGACACACGCGCTCTAGCTGCCCTCGCTGTGCACACTGGTAACAAACAATTGCTGTGGGCTCAAATTTTTGACTCGAATTACAGAATCAGATATTCGCTCGTGTTTAAACACTCTTCAGTTCTTGTTTCGGAACGGACAGTCGCTGAAAGCGGTAATCCTGCCATTTTTTTCTATCAAGCTTTCTAAGGCGCTCTACTTTGCAGCTAGAAGTCGCTTCTCAGGTTATTGGTAAAAAAGACATGACCAGCAGCATGTTCGACATATGGCTTGAGGTAAGCTGCTTCCAATTCATTTTCTATCTGCTTAAGCGGTTTTGCTAGACATTCTGGACTAGAAACAGAACCAGAATGAAGCAGGCACACGCGGAGTTCAGTCGGGTCCATGACGTTTATGCGAACCAGTACGTTCTAAAGTTCTAGAAGTATTTGCTTATTTGCTAATGTTTTTATGCAGCGGAGAGTATGACCTTGGAATGGAGGGTATTTTTGAGAACTTCTTGCATGTGCATTATCATGATGTATACCTCCAAAAGACGGTAAATATCGAATTTGGTTTTTCTCTGCCTCATTGGTCTTCATTGCTACTTCTTAGCTTCAATGCCTGGAAGTGATAGGCGCGTCAGATATTTTTGGACGAAAAACAGCTTCGCAGCAGCAGTTTTTTCTGAATGGTACCGTTTGTTCTTGTTCCAAAGACCTTTTTCACTCTGCATGAAACAGCGTATCGACCTTCTTTTAAACTTGCTATTCGCCGTTTGATTTCGCAGCCTGTTCGGCCTAAGCTTGAGTGGCCGAAATCATTTCAGAGGTATGGTTTAATATTGTAGAAAGTCTGTACTGATGGGTTTCTGTCGTTCCAGAAATCGTCAAGTCCATGCAGCAAACACAGAAATTTTGAAGTCGTGGCTGACTTCAATGACACTGGCCCTATCGCGAACCATTTTGTGTCCCTCTTTGATCCAGGATGTTCTTTCTCCTTTGTTATCGATTTTGGCTCCCAAGTTGCGGCCCGTAAGAACTAGATAACGTATTTTCAGCGTGCTGATGCCGTGGTACGTGCAGGTTGCGTCTAATCTTCTTTCTCAGCAAGAACGCGAAGACCTTAAGCAGCTTGTGGATACAATGATAAGTTATGGACTTCGGTACAAGAAGTCCAAGGCTGACAATCTCACAGTACAAAAGTTCTCGGGGGAAGCATTCCTGTTAGATCCTCCACTGCACACCTTTATAACCTTCAAGGTAATCGTTATTGTTTCTGTTTTATAAGTTTTGAAGTTCATTCTTCCTTACCTATCAGGAATACGCCCACAGCCATGGAGAACTTTCTTCAACCATTCAACAGATGCTGAGCCACGAGGTGCAGAAGTTCATACACAAAGAATGCATGCGTAATGCGATATTTCAGGTTGAAATAGAAGCGATAAAACGCGAAACTGCAAAGCGGTCCTCTAAACCATTCCAGCAGAAGCCATCTGTTTCTGCCAACAATAATACCATCGTCAAGTCTACTACCATTGAAAAGAGGACAATCGTATCAGCTTCAACATCCACTGGAAAACTCGTGACAACATCTAAGACCGAAGTTGTCAAGGCAAACACTGTCTTGAAGAAAGCTTCTTTCTTTGACAGGTAGGCTCGTTGTGCTGTTCAAATCCACACTGTCGTTGCAGGTTTAGAACAGGAAGCACGGAAGGCCACTCCTCCAAAAGGGAAGTTTCAACAGCTAAAAGAGATTCGAGGCCATTGCTCTTTAAATTTCACGAGGTCGGACGCTTCTCTTTGTGGTGCATAGCTGAGCGTTTTCTTTGCTTCAGGGATTTACAAACGCGGTGAAGAAGCCCGTCCTTATGCGTGATTTTCTATGAGCGCGATGATCGTGTACTTCTCCTTTTAGGTGCGTGTCCAGCGATTTTTTTCCCTTTAGGTAGAGTTTGATTCTTGATTTGCAGCTGCTGTTTTGTAGCTAAGCTTCGATTAATAATTATGGACACTCAAATCCAATAACTTAAGAGAATCAAAGCTGATTTATTTCGTTCAGAATCCCCTCCCTTTTCTTTTGAAGCTGTTGTTTCAATGGCGACAATGGCGGCTGCTGCAGCTTCAGCATTCTGCTCTATTCGGTCTTCCAATGGAAATGGCCACTGGGTAACGAGGGTTCTCCGGTGTTTCAGATGTAAATCTCTTTCTTCCATATTTTATTTTGTTAGGCTTCTGGATACGTTCCAACAAGGCCCTGGGCTCTTCGAATTCATAGCATTGCGGAGCCGAATTTGCGAATGTGAGTCACCTCCTACCCTGTGTTTTGTTGTTTTTTCGTTGCTTATATCTCTCTCAGGTGCTCTGAGACAAGGAGCAACTTTTGCATTTGTGCTGCTGCTGCTGATTCCAGCCAGGCATCACAATCGAGCAAAGAGATTGATCGATTGATAGATAAGCTGCGGAGCACAGACTCCCAACTTGTGAGTGAGTCGGAAAGAACCGGCTACTTAGATAATGATCACTGAAAGTTTTGTTTTTCCTTTTTATTCTCTAGCTACCACAGATAGTTGCGGAGAATGTCCTGGCGTTTGATAGTAAGTTCTGGCTTCGACTGGCTACCAGGACAGACCTTTGTAAATCGGAAGATGATAAGGTAAGGTTTCATCCATTTCGTATTATCTTGTTGTAAAGAATTAAATTTGGAAGGTGGATCTTGAAGAGCTTGCATCGAACATAATGCAGCTAGTCGAGCGGATTGTACAGAAGACAGAGGTTTACACACATCTGTTATCACCCAATTTTTGTCTGAAAGAATGTTTATTTGTCTGAATGAACAGGAAAAGATTGAAACTTCCACAGATGTGCTTATGGCGATTCTAGAGCCAGTCGCAGGCTCCAAAAACGAAGAAATTGTCTGGCCGCCTCGTGATCCTGATGCGTTGCAAAGAGTCAGAAAGGTATCTCTGTTTTGGTAGATGTTTGTTCTTTTTAAATTCCTTTTTTCTTCTTTCTCAATCTCAGGAGCTGATGCACAGGGAAAGTTCCGGCTACTTGGATGACGGTTTTCTCGCAGAAGTGAACGCTCAACTTCGTCAGGTATGGATGGAAGGTTTCCTTTCTTTTATTTTCATATATTTTTACATTTTTCGTTGCTAGAAAGGCCAAAAAAGATGCTGATAAGCCCGGATTGCTGGCTTTGCTACAAAAAGTGCTACAACTTTATGCAGCAACGTTTCTTGCAAAGACAAGCTATGCCAAGAGAGGTTTGTAGCTTCAATCGTTTCTCACAACAAACTTACGCTGTAATCCTTTTTTCTTTGTTTGATATAAGCAGATGGAGTCGTAGACGAAGCTGAGGAACTGCTCGAGAATATAATCTCAGGTTCGCTTTTGCATCTTCCTTTTCTCGTGGTTAGCTAGACAAGTTCTATTTTTTATAGCTGACAGCGAAGCTTGGGATAGCATGATAAGGTCCGGAGTGGACTTGGGCGGTGGCCCAGTTAAGAGCGTAGATCTTCGCAAAATGGCTAAGAAACGCATTGAACGAATTCTTCTTAGAACAGTAAGTCTCATTGCTTCATTTTTTTTCTTTTCTTGGTTTTTTGAGCAAAAGGTTATAAGCAGGAAGGTGGCTCTTACAAGCAAAGAATTCTCGTTGAGTACTTGAAAGAGATTGAGAGAAGCGTGGATATGGTTGTAGCAGCCTTTTCTTCCTGAGTTGTTTATAAACTATTACACTTTTTATTCTTTTTACATACATTTTAAAATTTCAAGGTCTAAAGGATTAGGGTGCCTTTGTGAAACTGTGGTTGACGTAACCTCATTTTATATAAGGAGAAAACGTTCTCTTTCGTGCTTGTGTGTCGTCACACTATCCATGGCAACCATATCTCCTAGGTTTGATTGGTACTACTTACTCATCTTGTTGCCATACTTAAGCATGTGGAGCTGTCTCACGGATTATGTCACTGGGAGGAGGAAAATAGCTTGCAAAAAGCACACTTGATGGATTTGCTACAGATCGTTCTCCTAGCTGGTCCCCTTTTGGAGAAGCATCTCCATTTGTTGCTTGGTTTGTAAGGTTAACTCCTTCGCTCCTAGTATGAATCAATTATTGATCCTCGAGCTCATCATGCTCCAGTTGATCAGCCATCTACTTCACTCTGAATGCTTCTCCCTTCTTTCTCCAAGATACTTTTGGTTCAAGAGCTCTACTGACCATTATGGCTTGCAAAGCTCTACATCCTGAAAGTGTCCGCTGCTAGCAGATTAGAGAAGGGAAACTCTCGTCTGTCTTGTGAATTATGCATATACCACAAACCTTGATGACTCCAGGATCTCTCATTAACTTAGAAGAAGAAGCTAGTGCATAAGTAAAGTAAAGGAAGCCATGGCTAAGTAACAACTAAAGAAGAATTCCCTTCTTGTTCTCCAGAATTCATCTTAAGCGAGCCAATGTAATGCAGCTAACTGTGAGCCCTATGTTCGCTAAAAAGCAATAGTGTTGGGTAAGTATCACAGAGCTAATGTTTATGCCATTGGGTTTTATTAGGAGGTGAGGCAAAACATTTCTCTAGGTGCTTAAGGTGTTAAGAATAATAATTTTTTTGCAAGCAAGTGAATTTTGTTGTAGTTGTAATAACATATTAACTCCATTGATTTCTTGCATTTTTAATTACACAATAAAGATTTTAGCATTATAATGGTTTACTATGCTTAAGCTTGTTGTGCAAAACACCCTCATTAGGGAAAGAACTTTAAGCATACAGTGATTGTGAATTTAGCCTATACCATCCAAATTCAAAATAAAACTTGCGTATTGAAAGATATCACATCCACAAACTTTAAGTGCTGATCTATCAAAATATCTAACATGGAGTGAAATTTATACAGTGTGAAAAATTATATATGTGGCATTGATTTGGACTTTGCCATGCATATATTGCAAATAACAATATATGTCTGTTTGCTATGTATACATGGCAAACAATAATACATGCTTATTTGCTATGTAAAAATGGGGACAACAATACATGTATGTGTTTAAAATATTATTTTGTGAGGCACACATATGTGTTATAAAAAGTTAAACATATTTGTGTTTTTCAGTAATATATTTTATAGGCTTCTACCTACGCTACCCACCTTACCATAAAATAAGCATGAAATAAAGAAAACTTTAAGAAAATCTATATAACTAACTTCTAAATTTGAGTTTCCCAAGAACTCATCTAGCTTAGCATTATATAAATCCAAGGACACTTAACCTTAAATATTTTTAAAATTTTAAGCATATAAGAAAGATACATTTTTTTATAATTTGTTTTTTAATATTTAAACCTTTATAAATCATTTTCTTTTTAATTGCTTCCTTACAAATTTACGCCTTTATGAACAACAATTGAAAATTACAGTTCTTCCAAGAGTTCTATTCTTTTGACATCTTACCCTTTAGGTCAAATCCAACCCAAGTAAACTCAATTACCAAATATCAATTTCAATATATAGTGTGATTCCCTTAGAAATTAACAGAGTTAATATAAAATTACTCTAAAACTATAAATTTTAACGTCCTGAGATATCACATATTTAAACTTAATCACATATAACTCTAAGTATCTTAACCAAGTTGGAAAAAGACATTTTTCCTTTATATTTGAACTTTTAAAGATTGTTTTTTGAATTATTATTATTGGTTGTTTATAGTATATTTGCTGAGGGGACGTGTACCTAGGGTGGGCAGTTTGTAAACAATTGTAAAATTTTACAAAATATATGAAAAAAAACACATGTATATTTAATTATTGTAAAACATATGTATGACTCACAAAATAATATTTTAAATCGGGAGATTATCAGCTCCACAAGCAAGTATTGGAGCTGGAGGCACGGCTATCAGTCACAGGTAGAGAAAATTCCTTTTATCATCCATACGTTGTCTAATGTGTTTTCCTCCTTGCCAGATTCTAACTTAAAGCAAGCGAAGCAAGAGTCCTTTGAGAAGAGCAAAAAAATCGTTTCATTGGAGAGCGAAGTAGATTCTCTCCAGGTGAGTGCTATAGATCGATATTTTGGACTGGAAGTGACTGTGCTGTGGGTAGAAGCGGGCATCTGGCGATTTGGAGAAGAAAATTCAGAGTCTGGAGGCAAAGGCGGAAGAATTATCAAAGGTGGAATTTGTCGGTCGTACTTTCTTGTTGTTCTGTCGTAACACCGCGACTTTTAGGTGGAACAACTCGAGGGGAACTTGAAAAAGTCGAGGGAAAACGCACAGAAGTTGCAAGACAAGCTGGAATTGTCGGAAGCGAAAGTTCATGAGCTAACCACAAAACTCGCACAGGTTTGCACGAAGATTATCCTTTTCGAATCCTTTGATGCGAGAAAGATTCTCTTTTTCTAACCAGGCCGAGAAGAGCAGTACCCATCTGCGAAAGAAAACGCGTGATGCTGAAGAGGCACGTAAGATAGCTGAGAATCTTCTGCTAAAGGCAAAGTCCGAGGCAGCTGCAAAGGCTCAGGAACTTTATAAGGTGTTTCGATTTTTCATTCGTCGTTCGTTGTGACAAGATTTGCAGGTTTACGAGGCTTGGCTGCCACCATGGGTCGCGGGCCGACTAGCGCAGATACAGGTAAGAAGTGTTTTCGTTGATATTTTCATTCATCTGTTGTGCGTGTATAGTCAACTTCGGCAGTGTATTGGACCCTGTACGGTGAACCAGTTTTTAAGAAAGCTGCGGAGCACGTAAGCCGATTATTTCTTCAATAGCATGTCTCATCTATAACCATTATTTGTATCAGGCCTCTCGACACGCCACAACGGCGAAGGAATGGGCTCAACCTCACGTAGATACTCTTAAGAAGGTACACATTATCTTGCTTTTGTCAATGGCTTTAAGATGAGCTTCGTTTTTTCTCCAGAAAGTAGGCCCTTCTGCGAGTGCGTACTGGCTCCACGAACGGCAAAGTTCTGGCTTCTAAAGTGTCAGAGGCCTACAATGTTCACTTGTCGCCCCACTTTGTTAAGGCGAACGAACAACTTATGCCTCGCATCAAGGTCTGCAATCGTCCATGTATCGGATAGGTTTCTTACATCCTTTCTCTCATTTGCAGTCTCTACGGAAACAGCTTCGGCCGCACGTAGACAAAGCTGCTGCGTACGTCCGTCCTTATTACGAGAAATCTCAAGAATACGCTGCTCCTCACATCGAAAAGGTGCAGCAAGTTTCCAAGGAGGCACTGTCCTCGGCTGTAAATTATCACAATAAGGTAAGTCTTAGAAGCCGAATATTACTGGCAGCTTCTGATTCTTCTCACTTACTTTCAGATGCAAAACTCAGTTCGCGGGCTTTTATTGAAGCACGAGGTGGCGAGCAAAGAGCTCGTTTGGTTTCTCGTAAGAGATTTATTTCCGGTTGCGTGTTTGCCAGCTCTAATTTACTTCTCCTCTCTTAGGCGATGGCGATTTTGGTGCTACCAGCGGCTGTAGCGATGCATTTGGTGTTGAGTACCTTCAGGTAAAGAGTCAAACTTGAGCTTGCACTCTCAAGCAAACTGACTAGAAAACTTGGCACTCCAGTGGTAGCAAGAAGGTGAAGAAGCCGAGCCGGAGCCACGCCAACGCGCACAAAAAGTCCAAAAAGTCCAAGCATCTTCATCGGTGGCGACAAGCGCAGAGAAGCACGCAGAGAAGCAGTAGGGAAAAAAAAATCAAGTGGCCTTGTCAAGATTGAAATCTTTCCGGATATATCCCTCGCGCTTACTGCTGGCTCCTTTGGACACGTGTATAAAAACACTAAAACTTTTGTGTACGGGCAAAATAACCTCAGTTCCACTTATATAATAGTTGATGTCCACGAATCATCATTGGTTGCAGCCCTTTTGATATTTAAGTTCCAACAAAAAACATCACATGACTGCTTACTATATCCTTTGAAAGCCTTTTTTCTCTCTAACGTACTCAAGTCCAGGTCAAGAGGCTATATATATTAATCCGCATTTCTTCCACGTCTTAGTGTGTTTGGCTATGGTGATTTTCTTCTGACACATTAGAGTGGATCGAGTTGTAATGACTTCTATAGAGCTCTAATAAAGCCCTAGCTTATAACGCTGGAAATCTCTCCAGCTCCCGCAGCAGATGAGATTTAACTGGCATTTGGATTGAAGCGGAGTGCGAGGTGAGATTTTCGATCTGAGAAAGCAGCATTTCGATTAGAGTGGGGCCGATTTGGATCTGCGAGGAGGGAGGGCCGATCGATATTTCTTTGTCGCTCGCGCTGAATCGATCTCGATCGCGATGAAGTTTGGCAAGCAGTTTGAGACGCAGCAGGTCCCGGAATGGAGGGAGGCGTACTTGGACTACCGGCAGGGCAAGGAGATCGTCAAGCATATGGCCAAGATCAAGAAGCAATGGCAAGAGGAGAGCGAGCCGCACCTCTCCAGGAGGATCTCAAACTTCCGGAGGCTCGTCAGCGGATTCCAACATGCGCATTCGCCGCGGGGGGCGCGATCGCCAACCTCGGAGGAAGAGATGATCCTGGTATGAGATTCTTCTTCTTCGGGATTCACTTAGCGTTGTAACACTTTTTTTGGTGGATATAGATCGAGCCAAAGCAAACTAGCGATGGCATGGAGTTCCAAACAGCGTTCTTGGGTGATGGTAGCCCGCACGACGAGCTCGAGAGAACGTTTTTTTGGCTGCTCGACAAGGAGCTGGCCAAGCTCAACAAGTTTTACAAGTCCAAGGAGAAGGAGCTCGTGACGCAGGCGACGGCGCTGGATTCCCAGATGGAAGCGCTCCTCTCGGCAAAGAAATCCGTGGACAACTTAGACGCTGGAAACGGGGAGAGCAACGCTAGCAGCCATGGCCGCCTCTCCGTGGTGGAGGAAGATGGAGGGAGCGTTCGACAGATAAAGATTGACATCCCTGCGGCGAAGCCAGCCGACGCGCTGGCTGCTCTCTTCGCGGAGCTGGCCAACAAGTCCATCACGAACTTAAACTCGCGGCGACTGAAGCGAGCCGAGGAGATGCTTCAGAACGCCTTCGTGGAGTTTTACAAGGGCCTGTACATCTTGAGAAACTTTTGGTACGTAAGTTCGCTTTTCGAAAGTTCGTGTTTTCATGTTGTCCTTTTCCTCTGCAGCTCATTGAACATAATTGCGTTTTCAAAGCTCCTGAAGAAATACAACAAGGTCAGCCAGCTTTTTGACATCCACCGGTTTAACTGACACAGATTCTTTGTACGATGCCTCCAGGTTACTCAGCGGAACCTTGGAAGGAAGTACATGAAAGCCGTAGAAGATTCATACATCGGACAATCTGAGATTGTAAGTGATCGCACATTAATATTCTCCATCGGTGTTAATGCCACTCGATGTTTCTTACTTTCAGATCCAAAAGCTTATGGAAAAAGTAGAGGTACTGTTCACCAAGCATTTCACGGATTCAAACCGTCGCGACGCGATGCAAGTTTTGAGACCCGAGGCCCGGAAGGAGAGGCACCGGATATCATTCTTTGTAGGTAATGCGATGTTCTTGAGAGTCCTCAAGGTGCCTGGTTAACTTAACAGCTTTGTTTGCGCAGGTGTATTCTTTGGTCTCTCTGTTGCTCTTCTAGTGTCTCTCGTTTTAACTATTCGCGTCGAGAGGCTATATGTTCGTGAATATGCTACGACATACATGGATGCAGTGTTTCCGATTTTCAGGTGAGACCTCAGCTAATATCTTTGTCTAACTTTCTCATGAGATATACTCCTCTTTACAGTATGCTTACAGCAGTACTGCTACACTTCTTCCTCTACGGACTAAACATATATATGTGGAGAAGGACCAGAATAAATCACACGTTTATTCTTGGGCTCAACCGAAAGTCCGAGCTACGCTTCCGAGATGTGTTTTTGCTCGCAACGTGGCTGAGTACATTAGCTCTGAGTGGATTGATACTACACTTGCAAGTGACGGCTGGTGAGATATGCTGCCAAACATATCAGGAAATCATCCCGCTCCTCGTTGTCGCCGTAAGGATTTTGCTTTAGAAGATTTTTTGTACCAAATGCCTGAACTTCCGTGTTGTACTTCAGGGAATGGTCGTGCTTCTGTTTATGCCGTTCAACATACTCTACCGCGCCACCCGTTACTTTTTCCTGAACGCCCTTTGGCATTGCCTATTGACGCCATTCTACAAGGTTCGCAGTGTCTCTCGTGATATATCAAGTTGGTATTCATGCTTTTGTCTGTATGACAGGTTATCATCACGGATTTTCTTCTCGCAGACCAGCTTACGAGTCAGGTAAAATAGGCCAGCCTCATTCTCACCTTTGTGACAAGCTTTGAGTTGCAGGTTCCGGCACTGAGGGATTTGGAATACGTTCTATGCTACTTCGGCGGTGGATTTTTCAAGGACCGCAACAGCAATGCCTGCCTCAAGAACCCGACCTTCATCACTTTTGGATTCGTCATGGCGTTGCTACCTTACTGGTGCCGTTTTTCGCAGGTAACTTCATTCGTCTCGCAGATTCCTTTGAGCTCCTCCTTGGTAACTTGCACAGCTCCTTTGATGACAGTGTCTACGGCGTTGGCACGATGAGAAGGATGTGATGCAGCTGTACAACGCTCTCAAATACTTCTCGGCGATCCTGGCCGTTGCAGCGAGGCTGGCCTACGGATACTACAAGGATCCCGTGCTGCTGGGCTTCACCATCGCCATCTCAGCCACAGCAGCCATTGTCTCAACTTACTGGGATTTAGTCTACGACTGGGGCCTTCTCGAGCGAAACTCCGCCAATCCCTGGCTCAGGGACAAGCTCGCTATCCCATACAAGTCGGTCTACTACTTCGCCATTGTAAGTTCTTGCCATCAACTTATCGGTTTCAGTTCTAAAGCTCTCGGTGACAATGTAGGTGTCAAACATTTTGCTGAGATTCGCGTGGCTCCAATCCTTGATACCGATTTCGATGCCAGGGATAAATCCCAAGGGGCTGTCGCTCATCGTGGCTAGCCTGGAAGTTATCAGGCGTGGACAATGGAACTATTACAGGTAAATCTCGTCACATTCTTCCATCTCTTTGGCTCTAAAATTCGCAATGTCTTTGATCTAGGCTGGAGAACGAGCATTTCAACAACGTTGGAAAGTTTCGTGCTGTCAAGTCGGTGCCTCTGCCGTTTGTGGATTGATGTTTTTCCCTCCCTTTTTTTTGTAAACGGAAGTAAATAGACGGAATGTTCTGACCTGCTAAACAGAGTATTTGGGCTAGCAGAATATGTTAAGGCATTTTGGCGGGCTTTGAGTTGTGGCGGCTATGGAGGCGCCTGGCGACGATGAGCTCGAGTGGATGGCGATGGAGCAGGGTCAGGCCATGGAGGACGAAGAGCTTCTCATGGATGAAGCGTTCTTTGATCAGATCCGGGGCTCCGATGGGTTTGAGGAGGGCAAGGGGGGGTTTGAGGATGTGAATGCCGGTGCGTGTCCAGCGATTTTTTTCCCTTTAGGTAGAGTTTGATTCTTCATTTGCAGGCTTGCAGCTGCTGTTTTGTAGTTATTCTTCGATTAATAATTATGGACACTCAAATCCATTAACTTAAGAGAATCAAAGCTGATTTGTTTCGTTCAGAATCCCCTCCCGTTTCTTTTGAAGCTGTTGTTGTAATGGCGACAATGGCGGCTGCTGCTGGATTCTGCTGCTGTTAGGCTTCTGGATACGTTCCAACGAGGCCCTGGGTTCTTCGAGTTCAGCGCATTGCGGAGCCGAATCTGCGACTGTGAGTCACCTCCTACCCTGTGTTTTGTTGTTTTTTCGTTGCTTATATCTCTCTCAGGTGCTCTGAGGCAAGGAGCAACTTTTGCATTTGTGCTGCTGCTGCTGATTCCAGCCAGGCATCACAATCGAGCAGCGGCGAAGAGATTGATCGATTGATAGATAAGCTGCGGAGCACAGACTCCCAACTGGTGAGCGAGTCGGAAAGAACTGGCTACTTAAATAATGATCACTGAAAGTTTTGTTTTTCGTTTTTATTCTCGAGCTACCACAGATAGTTGCGGAGAATGTCCTGGCGTTTGATAGTAAGTTCTGGCTTCGACTGGCTACCAGGACAGACCTTTGTAAATCGGAAGATGATAAGGTAAGGTTTCATCCATTTCGTATTATCTTGTTGTAAAAAATAAAATTTGGAAGATGGATCTTGAAGAGCTTGCATCCAACATAATGCAGCTAGTCGAGCGCATTGTACAGAAGACAGATGTTTACACATATCTGTTATCACCCAATTTTTGTCTGAAAGAATGTTTATTTGTCTGAATGAACAGGAAAAGATTGAAACTTCCACAGATGTGCTTATGGCGATTCTAGAGCCAGTCGCAGGCTCCAAAAACGAAGAAATTGTCTGGCCGCCTCGTGATCCTGATGCATTGCAAAGAGTCAGAAAGGTATCTCTGTTTTTGTAGATGTTTGTTCTTTTTAAATTCCTTTTTTCTTCTTTCTCAATCTCAGGAGCTGGGGAAAGTGCCGGCTACTTGGATGATGGTTTTCTCGCAGAAGTGAACGCTCAACTTCGTCAGGTATGGATGGAAGGTTTCCTTTTCTTTTATTTTCATATATTTTTACATTTTTCGTTGCTAGAAAGGCCAAAAAAGATGCTGATAAGCCCGGATTGCTGGCTTTGCTACAAAAAGTGCTACAACTTTATGCAGCAACGTTTCTTGCAAAGACAAGCTATGCCAAGAGAGGTTTGTAGCTTCAATCGTTTCTCACAACAAACTTACGCTGTAATCCTTTTTTCTTTGTTTGATGCAAGCAGATGGAGTCGTAGACGAAGCTGAGGAACTGCTCGAGAATATAATCTCAGGTTCGCTTTTGCATCTTCCTTTTCTCGTGGTTAGCTAGACAAGTTCTATTTTTTATAGGTGACAGCGAAGCTTGGGATAGCATGATAAGGTCCGGAGTGGACTTGGGCGGTGGCCCAGTTAAGAGCGTAGATCTTCGCAAAATGGCTAAGAAACGCATTGAGCGAATTTTTCTTAGAACAGTAAGTCTCATTGCTTCATTTTTTTTCTTTTCTTGGTTTTCTGAGCAAAAGCTTATAAGCAGGAAGGTGGCTCTTACAAGCAAAGAATTCTCATTGAGTACTTGAAAGAGATTGAGAGAAGCGTGGATATGGTTGTAGCAGCCTTTTCTTCCTGAGATGTTTATAAACATTTTTTTTCTTTATTACATATAAACACTTTTTATTCTTTTTACATACATTTTAAAATTTCAAGGTAATGTTGCATTTCTCATAAACCCTAGTTATGAACTAAAGGATTACTTTGTGAAACTATGGCTAACCTAACCTCATTTTAGATAAGGAGAAATTGTTGGACCTAACCATATTCCCTAGCATGTGGAGCTGTCTCACGGATGTTCTTATGTCACTGGGAGGAGGAAAATATGATGGATTTGCTACAGATCGGTCCCCTTTTGGAGAAGCATCTCCATTTCACTGTGCTGCTTGGTTTGTAAGGCTTGCTCCTTCAGTCCTAGTATGAATCAATTGTTGATCCTCAAGCTCATCGTGCTCCAGTTTATCAGCCATCTTCTTCACTCTCAATGCTTCTCCAAGTATTTTGTTTCTTCCTCTCTTCTTTCTCCAAAGTACTTGACTATTCTTTGGTTCAAGAGCTCTACTGACCGTTATGGCTTGCAAGGCTCTACGTCCTCAAAGTGTCTGCTGCTAGCAAATTAGAGAGGAAGACTCTCGTCTATCTTGTGAATTATGCACATACCACAAGGATCTCTGGCAACTCACAAATCATTAACTTAGAAGAAGAAGCAGTAAAGTAAAGGAAGCCATGGCTGTGAGTCCTATGTTCGCTAAAAATCAACAGTGTTGGGTAAGTATCACAGAGTTAATGTTTATGCCATTGGATTTTATTAGCAGGTGAGGTAAAACATTTCTCTGGGTGTTTGGGGTTTTTAGTACAATAGTTTTTTGCGAGCAACTAGATTTTGTTGTAGTTTGTAGTAATGTGTTAACTCTATTGATTTCTTGAATTTTTAATTACATACTAAAGGTTTTAGCATTTGTAATGATTTATTGTGCTTAAGCTTAGTTGTGCAAAACACTTTTCATTACCCTCACTAAGGAGATAATTTTAAGCATAAAGTGATTGTGTTAGCCTGTGGCATTCAAACTCAAAATTAAGCTTATGTGCTGAAAAATATCACACCCACAATCCTTAAGTGCTAAGTTGTCAAAATATTTAATATGGAGTGAAATCTATGTAGTCTAAAAAATTACATATATAGCACTGATTTGGATTTTGCCATGTATAGATGGAATGTTTATTTTATGGTGGGGTGGGTGGCATAGATAAAACCCTAAAGAAAAACATAAATACATTTAAATTCTTATAATACATATGTGTGTCTCACAAAATAATATTTTGAACACATGCATGTATTATTGTCCTTATGTATACATGGTAAATAGGCATATATTGTTGTTTGCCATGTATGCATGGCAAACAGGCATATATTATTATTTGAAATTAAAAAAGCTTAAGAAAATCTATATAATTAATTTCTAAATTTAAATTTTCTCCCAGCTCAACATGATTTAAATCCAAGGACACTCAACCCTAAATATCTTAAAATCCTTAACTTTAAATATTTCAAAATATTTTATGAAAAAGATACATTCTTATTTATAGGTACTTTTTCTATATTTAAACTTTTATGGATCATTTTCTTTTTAATTGTTTACTTGTAAGTTTACGCCCTTCTAAATAGAGGTTTAGAATTACAACTCTTCTGAGAACTTTACTCTTTTGACACCTTACCCTTTAAGTTAAGTTTAACTGAAATAAACTTAAATACTAGATATCAATTTTAATATATGGTATAATTCTTTTAGAAACTAACAAAGTTAAACTTAAGATTGCTTTGATATTATAAATTTAATTTTTATGAGAGGTTATTCATTCAAATTTAATGACATTTAACTTTAAATATCCCAATACTCTTAACCAATTTGGATATATATATATATATATATATATATATATATATATATATATATATATATATATATGTTAAAGTCTAGTTAAAAATAATTTTTTATATTGAGAGAATTTTAATTCCACATTAATTTTTTTGACTCATCACAAAGTTTATACTTAAGAATTATAGATATAATGTTTTTTAGTATGCAAGTTAGACTTTGAATGTTTTTGGATATTACTTGCCATTAATGAAAATAATTTTTCACAACAATTTAAACACAATAAACTATTATAATGCCAAAAACTTCAGTGTGTAATTAAAAATGTAAGAAATCAATAAAATTAACATTTTATTATAATTATAACAAAACTCATTTACTCATTGCACTTAATGCCCTAAGTACCAAAAAAAATGGTTTAACTTTGTTTTTGTGCTTTAATCAGCTATATATAATTTTTTCCATCATATATTACAATTGAAATATGCTTTTAAGATGTAAGAAATAAGCTATACTTATGCGAAATGAAAGGAGAGAAAAAGAAATCACAAATTTACACTTAATAACATAAAAATGAAATAATAAAAGCTTTTACTAGATTTATGATAACATCATATTATCTTAAATAATGTGGTATCAGTCTTGCATGGGAATCCAAGGTATCATACCCCATACATATATGACATACTTTATGACAAAAATATTATATACATAATCATGTTTCAATTATTTATATAGTAATTTAAAAGTGATTGTGTGTATAATATTTTTGCATGCAACTCAAAACAAAATAATAAATCTGCACACATATAAATATATAATGGTTTCATGTGCAACCACATATTCATTGCCATATATTTTATATTCTAATTATTCCATGGATATCATTATATCTATGTATTGTATATTAAAAATTCCACAATCTCCCCAACTACACTCCCACACGCGTTCAGCACAGTGGCTAGAGTTTCGTTTGGACGAAGAGCTTCATATTTTGTAAGAAAAATCTTCATTTTACGTATCCTATTTTTTCATCCTTTGTTTTAGGGTTCTTGTAGAGGATGGTTCGCTTAGGGTTTTCCGTGAGCGACGATCAGCTGAAGGGAATCTAGGTGAGGCGCTTAGGTCGGGTAGGAGGCGCAGAGCACCATGGCGATCCCAAAGGCGGAGAGGAGCCTTCAGGAGATTGAAGATCTCATGCTCCGCCGCGTCTTGCAGCTCACTCTCTCGCCCCCAGCTGACGCGAGCAATGCCCCTTCTTCCAATCTCGTCTTTCTCGAGCAGATCGCCGCGGAGCTGATGAGCGAGGATCGGCCGATGCTGCTGTCCCGGGACCTGATCGAGCGCGCGCTCATGGACAGGCTCACGACGTATTTCCACGCTCGGGAGGAGCCATTGCTCTATCTCATCGCCTGCTATCGGAGGGCTGTGGACGAGGGCCGCAAATCCCAGGCCATGAAGGACAAGAAATCCATGGTGTGGATCCAGGAGACTCTCAACCAAGTCAAGGAATTGGTTGTTTCCTATGCCGGGATCTCGATCATCCATCCAGGAACATTTCCACAGCAGGAGCTCCAGCGAAATTCTTCCAAGCCTCTATCGCCGCTACTGGCCGCGATGATGGACGAGTCCCCCTCCTCCGAGAGCTCCGGTTACAGCGGCTCCAATCTACCACAAGGTTTCATCGAGCAGACCATAGCCAGATTCCAGGGCGAGGAGTTGGACGCCATCTTTCACGGGGTGTTCATCGGCCTTCGCGACAGTGTGATGAGGCTCTCGGCTCTCGGACCCTTCCAAAAGCCTCTGGGGATTCTCGTCACGTTGGTCTCGTATCCAGCACTCGCTAGAGCTTTGGTGAGGCACCCAAACTTTCACGTCAGGGGCAGTAATGTCAATGGAAGGATTTTCGAGTTGGAGACCATCTTGGGCCCGTTCTTCCACATCGCTGCTGTTCCCGACTTGGTAGCGTTTGTGAAAGGCGAGCCGGACATCGGGTATTGTGCTTTTGCTTCTCTTTTTCGGCTTTCTAATGCTTTCTCCTTCTCTTCTTGCAGCCGGCAATGCTTTTCAGATGCTTCGTCTAGGAGGCCGGCAGATATACTATCTTCTTGTTCGGCCATCAAGTCTTGCTTGCACCATCTCCAGGATGGACTGCATGAGATAGTACTCAAGCTGCTTCGCTCGGTCGATACACGAGAGCAGGTCTTGGGCTTTTTAGGAGATTTCATAGAGAAGAATGCGGGTAGAGCACAAATTCAGGTTTTTGTTCCTTTTCCATCACAGTTTTGCTCTCCTCTTGATGCGTGCCTTGTAGGTCAACCCGCTTGTAAATGGTAGCACGGGGTCGTTCGTCAACTTGAGCGCCGTCATGCTCAAGCTCTGCGACCCGTTTCTTGATCCTCCGTTCACTAAAATGGACAAGATTGATTTAAACTACGTTCTCAAAAACGTCCGTGTAAACTTCAGGTTGGTCAGTTTTTAAATCGTCGAGCCTCTCTGAATGGTTTCTTGTTGTTAGTAACTTGACAGCTATTCATGCTACCTCGGAAGAGCTCTCTCGATGGGTTGACAAGCGCAACTATGCCCGTATTGAAGGTTTCAGGCAGGCCCAGGCACAACGTGAGCAAGAAGAGTTGATGCGGCTTCAATCACAGGGAGCTTCAGCTTCTGTAGTACAAGCTTCGGTTTCTGGTCAAGGAAGCTTCTCGTTTATCTGCGAATGTTTCTTTTTGACAGCCAGAAGTCTGAATATAGGACCACTCAAAGCTGTTTCAGATTTCAAGACTCTACTACAGGTAAATCACTTCTAGAGTTGGTCTTTCTGACTGACAAGATCGATATGCGTCAGGATCTTTCGAGGCAAAAGGATTCCTTGGAGGCGCTGAAGGCCATGCAGGGCCCCGGGGCACCGGCGGATCTAGAAAATACTATCAAGAACACAGAAAACAACATAGAGCAGCTTACACAAGACCGATACTGTTATGAGGCGCAATTTTTACGGGTAAACTTCAGTACTGCCTCTCTCCTTGACTGACACTTTCTCTTTTTCATCTTGTAGGACTTGCAACTCTTGCAAGAATGTGTCCGGTTTTATCGCCTGATGATTGTTTGGCTTGTAAGTCTTGTTGGTGGTTTTAGAGTTCCTCTCCCTGCACCCTGCCCGATGGAATTTGCGTCCATGCCGGAACATTTTGTAGAGGACTCTTTAGAAATGCTGCTTTTTACCGCACGGGTGCCGAAGGGTTTAGAAGGCGTTCCTCTGGTACGTGTTATGTTTGGTAAAGGAAGAATGATTCTCATGTGTCTCATGCAGGACGAGTTCATGAGCTTTATTGTCATGTTTATGAGCAGTCCTCTGTACGTGAAGAACCCTTACCTGCGGGCAAAAATGGTGGAAGTTCTAAACGCATGGATGCCTTCAAAGAAGTGAGTAAGATTATGCTATAGCAATGATTCCTTCCTCTTTTTTCTTGCAGCCATTATGCACCAGCACTGTCTTCATCTCTGACGACATTATTTGAAGGGCATCAGCTGGCCATGGATCATCTTGTTCCAGACTTGCTGAAACTTTATGTGGACATCGAATTCACTGGTTCTCATACCCAGGTCTGTTTGCGTGTAGGTCTTTCAGCACGAGCCTGACCATCATATTTTCTCACCGTAGTTTTATGATAAATTTAATATTCGGCATAATATCGCAGAGCTCCTCGAGTATTTGTGGCTCGTTCCCTGCCATCATAATGCGTGGAAAAGGGTAACACAAACTTTTCAATGCTTGCAGCAACGTTTTGACTCTTCCTGTCTCCTCAGATTGCTGTAACAGAAGAAAGAGGTTTTTACTTGAGGTACTTGAATCTGCTGATCAACGACAGTATCTTCCTTCTGGATGAGAGCCTAAAGAAGATCCCCGAGTTGAAGGAGATGGAAGCGGAAAGGTCAAACGTTCCAGAGTGGGAACGTAGGCCGCCACAAGAAAGGCAGGAAAGACTCCGACTGTTCCACCAGATTGAACAAGTATATCAGTTTTATTTTTGCGCCATTCCTGTACTTACATTTAATTTTTTTCTCTGCAGCATGTTCGCTCAGACATGATTCTGGCAAATGAGAACGTCAAGATGTTGCAATACACGTCTTCAGAGATCACGACTCCGTTTCTTCTTCCGGAAATGGTGGAAAGAATTGCATCCATGCTCAATTACTTCTTGCTGCAACTAGTGATCACGCAAAGGAAAGCTCTGAGGATCAGGGACCCAGAAAAGTACGAATTTAGACCCAAGGAACTGCTTTGCCAGGTAACCTCTTTTCCTGTTCACTGTTGTAGAAAGGCTTGACTTATACCCTGCAGATTGTGGAGATCTATGCAAATCTTGCCAGAGGTGACATCCATGGAGAATTTTCAAAGGCAATATCTCTCGATGGTCGTTCGTATCGTGATGAGGTACATGTAAAATTTCTGAGTTCGTTCTCTCACGTGTCTGGTCGTAATGCAACAGCTGTTCAAGGAGGCAATTGACGCGATCCATATGATCAATCAGCTTCCACCGAAAACGATGCAAGACTTTGTGTTGCTTGGTGAAAAAGTGAAGAAAGCTGTATCTGAGGCTCAGGATACTGAGGCTCTCCTCGGTGACGTTCCTGAGGAGTTTTTGGATCCTATTCAAGTAAGCTTTCCTTTCTTTTGTTTTGCTTTTGCTGATTGTGTTCTTTCCCAGTACACTTTGATGAAGGATCCCGTGATTCTTCCGTCGTCGAAAACCACGATTGATCGAGCGACGATACAGAGACATCTCCTGAGCGACCAAGTAAACAAGAAAAAACTTTTCATTGTTTTGCTATAACTGTGACACCTTTTCTCTTTCCTCCAGACGGATCCTTTCAATCGCTCGCTCTTGACGGCCGATATGCTAGTTCCTAACGTGGAACTCAAAGCTAGAATTGAGGAGTTCCTCCGAAATGCTAGGAAGAATTAAAGTCTCTTAAATTAAGCGAAGGAAGAAAGAAATTTTTTGTATATTAATCTGTGTATATATCAAGCTTGAACATCACATTTAATCTAATCTCAGGCGATCGATCTGGGCAAAGCTAGACTTTGAATATATTTGCATGTAATTTAGGTTGTTGCGTTTCAAACCATGGATCGGGGAGGGGATCCCCTTCGCCGAGCGCGCAATGGCGGTGGCATTTGGCGGAGCCGCTGGCTGGTTCTTGTGGCGTCGATGTGGCTCCAGGCGTGCGGCGGAGTGGGATACATCTATGGGAGCTACTCGCCCGTGATCAAGGCCAGGCTCCACTACAACCAGAGGCAGATGAACACGCTCGCAGTCGCCAAGAACATTGGCGGCAGCGTCGGGATCTTTGCTGGATCTCTGTCGACGGTGCTCCCTCCCTGGGGGCTCATCTTGCTCGGGGGATTCCAAAATCTCGTCGGCTATGGTGGAATCTGGCTGCTCGTCACGAGCTTAGCTCTTCCTTCGCCGCTTTGGCTGGTGAGTTCTTCTCTTTGGTTTTTCTTCCTCTTCCTGGTCTTTGCCTCTAGCGTACAGAGTTGTTTTGCGTGATTTGTTTGTCATTGCCAGAGTTTTGGATCTGGCAAGTTTCGTCAGAGGTAAGCAATGTAGAGCTTCCACTTGTTCGAGAGAGAGACCGGTTGGTAGAAAACTTCCTGTCAATCGCGAAAGATGGCATGATCTCAGCTTTTATTATTGTCCTGGAATGATCTCCTTTTTGATACGCATTGACATTCCTTTTATTCTTCCAGATGTGCGTGCTCATTATGATCGGTACTAACGAAGAATCATACTTCAACACCGTCTCTCTCGTCTCGGCGGTACGTAACTTCCCCAGGAACAGGGGCCCGGTGGTGGGAATTCTCAAAGGATTTAGCGGGCTGTGTGGAGCAATCTTCACGCTGGCCTATGGAGCGCTGCTGGCTCCACACCAGGAGGCATTCATCCTTCTCGTGGCCGTGACACCGATTATTGTGGGTGTGATTGTCATGCCGATCATCCGGCCTTTGGAGAGCTCCGGGATCACGCAAGACACCAAGGATGAATCGGAGAACATGGGATTTATCTACAACCTGTGCCTGTTAATCGCTGCTTATCTCCTAGTGGTGCTGCTGATCATCGACTTGCTGGACGTGAGCAAGCTCGTGACTGGGATTTTTTATCTGGGATTGCTGCTGCTTTTGGTTTTCCCGCTGGTTATACCACTCAAGCTCGAGTTCTTCAAAGGTGGCGCTGACGCAAAGCTTGTGGAGCCGCTGATTCCAGAGGCAGCAGGATCAAGCGATAGCAACAAGTCGGCGGGCTACGAGTCCTCCTTCAGTGAGCTAGAGGACGAGAAGCGAGCATCGAGAAGCCTTCCGGAGCCGCTTTTCAAACTGAAGCTGGCGAGAATGCGCTCGGATCTTTACAAAGCTGTTGCCGAGGGAGCTGTGAAGGTGAAGAGAAGACAAGGGCCTCGTCGCGGAGAGGATTTCACGCTAAGGCAAGCTCTCATGAAAGCTGACTTTCTTCTTATGTTTGGAATACTCTTCTGTGGTTGTGGCTCCGGCTTGACAGCCATAGACAACCTTGGACAAATGGGACAGGCACAAGGCTATGAGAACGCTCATATGTTTGTCTCGATGATAAGCATATGGAACTTTCTGGGAAGAGTTGCTGGAGGCTTCGTTTCGGAGTGGATTGTCAGGTACTTTCTATTTGCTCTAGTTGCCTATTATTGCTCTAGATATCGAACTCTTTGCTTACTTTCTTCTTCTTTGTTCTCCCTCAGAGCTCACGCGTATCCAAGACCATGCGTGCTAGCTGTGGCTCAGCTGGTAATGGCTGTGGGTCTTTTATTCTATGCCATGGCCTGGCCATTCTCACTTTACATCGGATCCTTGCTGGTGGGACTGAGTTACGGCGTGCACTGGGCAGCTGTGCCGTCGGCAGTGTCTGAGCTCTTCGGTCTCAAAAACTTTGGCAGCTTCTACAACTTTCTCACCATCGCAAGTCCACTGGCAACCATCCTCTTTTCGGGAGTCCTTGCCGGGACCATTTACGATCGCGAAGCCGCCAAACAACTCAATGCAGGTGAGAGTGGCGCCAATGGTTTGCTGTGCAAGGGAGCCGTGTGTTTCAGGCTCACGTTTCTTATCCTCATGGGAGTCTGTATCTTCGGTTCCGGGCTTTGTATGCTCTTGGTGAAGAGGACAGTGCCGGTTTACGCTGCATTATATGGGAAACAGCAGGAACAGGGTGAAAACATGAAATCGATTCCCGAGGAACCTTAAGTTTGGACAGTATCGGTTACGTTCATATACCAATCTGGCTAAAAGATGGATATGGTGCTCGGTTACGCTGGACTAACTGGAAAGCAGCAAGAACCTTCAAGTTACACATCCAAGAGCTAAAGAACTTCAGGCCAAACGCGTCATACAATCCGATGAACTATGATTCCAAAACATCAAAACTCTCAAAAATGATATCGAAACAAGATAGTGTTCTTGGTAAAAGAAAGTTCCTCTCGCGGTGATGTTTCGCTTCCACCCGGCATTAGTACATTGCCCCTCCACTCCATGAAGAGACACATCTTTGTTTTCTTGTGCAAGCTGGTTTACTCGGTAAAACGCAGCGGTGGAAATCTTGCATGGCATTTACTCTTGGTTATTTCAATCAAGATTGGCGCTCCTCTTCTTCATCTCCTTCTCGCGCAGCGCGATCTCTACAGCTCTCGAGGCTATGGAGGATCTCCCGGGACGTGGGATTTGGCGCAACCGGTGGCTGGTTCTAGTGGCGTCAATGTGGCTCCAAACTTGCGGCGGCGTGGGATACATCTATGGGAGCTACTCTCCGGTGATCAAGGCCAGGCTCTTGTACAACCAGAAGCAGATGAACACGCTCGCGGTCGCCAAAGACATCGGTGCGTTTGTGGGGATCTTTGCCGGATCCCTGTCGGCCGTGCTCCCTCCCTGGGGGCTCGTCTTGCTCGGTGGAGTACAAAATTTAGTCGGCTATGGTGGGATTTGGATGCTCGTCACTAATCTGGCTCTTCCTTCGCCCATTTGGCTGGTAAGTTCTTATTCCTTTTTATCTTTTTTTCATTTTTTTCTTTGGTATTCGGTGTTTTTGTTTGCCATTGTCAAGTTCTTGTGTCTAGAATTTTATTGTTTTTTATTTTCTAGAAAATACTTGTTTGGCTTCCTAATCTCACAAGGTGGCGCGAGTTTTCTTGTTCCATTGTTGTTCGTTGATTCGCGCTAAACTTGCAGATGTGCGTGCTCATTATGATCGGTACTAACGAAGAATCATACTTCAACACCGTCTCTCTCGTCTCCGCGGTACGCAACTTCCCCAGGAACAGAGGCCCCGTGGTGGGAATTCTCAAAGGATTCAACGGGCTGTGTGGAGCAATCTTCACGCTGGCCTATGGAGCGCTGCTGGCTCCACACCAGGAGGCATTCATCCTTCTCGTGGCCGTGGCACCCATTATTGTGGGTGTGATTGTCATGCCGATCATCCGGCCTTTGCAAAGCTCCGGGATCCCGCAAGACACCAAGGAAGAATCGGAACACATGAGATTTATCTACAACTTGTGCCTGGTGATCGCGGCGTATCTCCTCGTGGTACTGCTCGTCAAGGATATCTTGGACGTGAGCAAGCTTGTGACCGCCATCTTTTACCTGGGAATGCTGCTGCTTTTCGCGCTCCCGCTCGTTATACCACTCAAGCTCGAGTTTTTCAGAGGTGGTGTGGGTTTCGAAGGCAATGGAAAGATGGTAGAGCCGCTGATGCAACAGGCAGCCGGATCAAACCAGAGCTTAGACGATGGCAGCAAGCTGGCGGGCTATGACTCCTACTTCAGCGAGCTAGAGGACGAGGAGCGAGCCTCGAAAAGCCTTCCGGAGCCTCTCTTCAAGAAGGAGATGTCGAAAATGCGATCGGAGCTCTACAAAGCCGTTGCCGAGGGAGCAGTGAAAGTTAAACGGAGGAGGAAAGGACCTCGTCGCGGAGAGGACTTCACGCTGATTCAAGCTCTGAGGAAAGCGGACTTTCTTCTCATGTTTGGAATTCTCTTCTGTGGCTGCGGCTCGGGCTTGACAGCCATAGACAACCTCGGGCAAATGGGACAAGCACAGGGCTACTCCAACGCTCATATGTTTGTCTCGATGATCAGCATATGGAACTTCCTGGGACGAGTTTCCGGAGGCTTTGTTTCGGAGTGGATTGTCAGGTACTATTACTACTTTGTTTCTCTCTGTTTGTTCTTTCCTGGAGATGATCTTGCAAGTTTGCTTGTTTACATACGTACTCTGTTTCTTTATGTTTGTTCTTTCCTGGACCTGACGTAAACTTACAAGTTTGCTTGTTGCTTTTTCAATTTAGAGAATATGCTTATCCAAGGCTCAGCTCCTAATGGCATTCGGCCATCTCTTCTACGCGATGGCCTGGCCGTTGTCACTTTACGTTGGTTCTTTGCTGGTGGGACTGAGCTACGGTATGCACTGGGCTGCCTTCCCGTCGGCGGTGTCGGAGCTCTTCGGCCTCAAGAACTTTGGCAGCTTCTACAACTTTCTCACCGTCTCTATTCCGCTAGGGACGATTCTCTTCTCTGGAGTCCTCGCCGGCAGCGTCTACGACAACGAGGCCGCCAAACAGCTCCACGGGAGGCCGGAGGATTTCGAGGATGGCCTGCTGTGCGAAGGAGCGGTGTGCTTCAGGCTCACCTTTCTCATCCTCATGGGAGTTTGCATCTTTGGCTTCGGGCTTTGCATGCTCCTGGTGAAGAGAACGGTGCCGGTTTACGCTGGATTGTATGGGAAACAGCAGGAACAGGAACAGGGGTCTCATGCGAGTAAAGCTGAGAATGGTGGAAACATGGAAACGATTATCGAGGAAGCTTGACTTTATAGACGAGCTAGAAGCGTTAGGCCAGGAGTTTGAGCTCTATAAGAGTTTGGGGAGATGGTCTGTCTACATAAGCTCGAAAAGGCTCTCAAAAAAGGAGATGGACTCGGCGCGACTTGAAAGACTACTGGCGCTTGCGAGTGGAAAACGAGCAGTGGCTTTAGAGATTTCTGGCACGTTGGCATTTATTTTCGATTTCTACGACCTTTTGTTTGTACATGAAGATCTTTATGAGATGTTGTCTCTGCTTTTGTACGGGTAGAGATTGGGACCACTTTGGTCTTGCCGACAGAAAAAAAATGAAAGTAAACTTGGAGAGATTGGTTTCTTTCGTTCGCGATGGATCAATCGGCCGGCCGAGACACCGAGAAGCTAGCCTCATCCATTTGAACTGGAGATACGATCGCCCGTGTTGTCAAACGTTGTCTCCTTCTGTGCAAGTCGCCAAGAGCGTCCAGTTGGTGTGTGTTGTTTGTGGTTAATCAGGCTTTGTCACTAATACATAAAATAAGACGCTGTTTTACCTTTTGGAACGCCCCACCGGAAAAAAAAACGTGTTCGACATTCCCATCACATGTAAAAGTGCGTTACTATCCACGCAAGGTGAAAAGTGAACTAGAGTGGTGTAGTAGTGGTGATTTAGGTGTCTTTATTTTCCATGTGTTGCTCATCCTCGTCTTCTTCTTCCCGTTTGATCCGATCCACGGGACGATCGATCGATTGCTTGTCCTCTGGCGTATTTCGGAGCCACGGCGCATCGAATGCCGGGGCGGCGCCTCCTTTTTGCGTGATCGATTCGTCTTCCTTGGAATGCGGTGGGGCGATAGGGTCTGATCGTCAGGAAGAGGGATTTTCGCGAGATTTTGAGAGGCAGAGAGGGGGATCGATCACACCATGAAGCTATCGCGGCAGCATCGAAGCGTTTGGAACAGCCGATGGCTGGTTCTTGTGGCGTCGATCTGGATCCAGGCGTGCGCGGGGGTGGGATACGTCTATGGCAGCTACTCGCCATTGATCAAGAGCAGGCTACATTTCAACCAGAAGCAGATGAACATCCTGGGCGTGGCCAAGGACATGGGCGACAGCGTGGGGATTTTTGCGGGCTCCCTCTCGGATGTGATCCCTCCCTGGGGTCTCGTGTTCTTGGGGAGCTTGCAAAATTTCGTCGGTTATGGAGGCATTTGGCTCATCGTGACGAACCCGGCGCTTCCATCTTTCTTCTGGCTGGTACGTATACGTACGCATCGACTCGGCTGGATTTGGATGGATTTGTTTGCTTGCCATAGGAGGGAGTTACTGTTGATCGTTTTGTCTTGGCTTCCAGGATCCATCGACAGTTTCGAGGTTTTTTTAATTGGTTCTTCGTTCTCTTTTTTTTGTGAAACGTTTGCATGGCTGACGATTGTCTCGTAGTTCATATAGGCGTTTTGGTTGCTAGCGAGATCGTTTTAACGCTTAGACAATTCTATCTTTGTTTTGGTTTGTAGATGTGCGTGCTCATGTTCGTTGGTACCAATGGAGAGACTTATTTCAACACGGTTGCTCTAGTCTCGTCGGTGCGCAACTTTCCCAGGAACCGGGGTCCAGTCGTCGGGATTCTTAAAGGATTCACGGGTCTCTGCGGAGCCATCTTCACGTTGGTGTATGGAGCTATACTCTCTCCGAATCAAGCCGCATTTATCCTGCTCGTTGCCGTTGCTCCGGTCTTCGTTGGACTGCTCGTGATGCCGATCATACGTCCAATCGAGACCGAAGCTCCCGTCACTTGCGAAGAGAAGGATAAGGAGGAAGCCGTCAACCTGGGGTTTATCTACAACCTCTGCCTGGTCATGGCTGGGTACTTGTTGGTGGTGCTGCTGGTTCAAGACCTCCTGGACGTTAGCAAGCTGGTGACGGGGATATTTGCTCTCGGCATGTTTATCTTGATAGTGCTGCCACTGGCGATACCTTTGAAGCTGGAAGCGCAGCAGCTTCAAGAAGCGAAGTTGACGGAGCCTCTGGTTCAAGCAGAGGCCGGTGCTGGCTCAAGTCAAGCAACCGATGCTCCAGTCTATGATCCATACTTCAGCGAGCTCGAGGACGAGAAGCGCGCTGCGAGAGCTCTTCCGGAACGCGTGGTTCATGCCAAGCTTCAGAGAATGCAGTCCAACTTGTACCGTGCCGTAGCGGAGGGAGCTATCAAGGTGAAGAGAAGAAAAGGTCCTCGCCGTGGTGAGGACTTCACACTAAGGCAAGCTCTCGTGAAGGCTGATTTCCTACTCATGTTCTTCGCACTCTTTTGTGGAGCTGGCTCGGGCGTCACGGCCATTGACAACCTTGGACAAATGGGACAGGCACAGGGTTATCCAAATGCTCACATCTTCGTGTCCATGATGAGCATATGGAACTTTTTGGGACGCGTTGGCGGTGGATTCGTCTCCGAGTGGGTTGTCAGGTACAGGAAAACACTTTCTTTGAGTTTGTGTATTATAACACTAATGTTTTCTTACGTGTTTCAGAGATTATGCATATCCTCGGCCCTTGGTACTCGCTGGTGCTCAACTGGTCATGGCAGTCGGACACTTTTTTTATGCGATGGCTTGGCCTGCCTCGTTGTACATTGGCTCGCTACTGGTTGGCCTGGGTTACGGTGCGCACT